GTTAAAATAGGATGCAGTATGCAGTGATGGGTTATACGCTGGAACAGTGTTTAATGCTCTACTAATGTTGCATCTCCTCCACTGGTGACCAACGGTGATCGGTGAAAAACCTCCGCTTCCCGACGTAGGATCCTAAAGGAGGCTGTGCTCAGACGCTCCGGAGGTCGTCTCTACCCTGCACCGTCGGGTAGCCCTTCTCTCAGGTATGTTACTGCTACTCCAACACAACACTCGGCAGCTCACACACTCCATCCTCAGTCCGCACGCAGTGTTGAAGCAGATTCTGCTCAGTCCTGCTCTGGAACCCCACAACCGGCATCTCCTCGTCCTCTTTTCTCCCCAACCACACTAATAATTGGTGACTCCATAACCAGAAACATCCGTTTCTTAAAGGCTACCACTCACTGCTTCCCCGGGGCCACCACAGCTGACATTTTAAAAAAACTCCAGGACCTAATGCCATCGCTCCCGTCCTCCATCACAAGAGTGATAGTCCATGTCGGAAAAAAATGACACAGCTCTTCAGTATTCTGAGCTGACAAAATCAGATTTTAACCATCTTTTTAACCATCTTTTTAACTTTTTAAAGCAGTGTGGAAAGTCCGTTTTTATCTCTGGTCCCATTCCCACAGTTGGTCACGGTGCTTGTCGCTTCAGTAGATTCCTTGGCCTCTTTTTAAGACAGACGGACTTCACACAAACAAACGGGTCTCAGAAATGTTAGCTGCTCACATACAGCATGTGGTGCGGTCCTCCCCTCAGGACTTACGTGAATGACTAATCATTCATGCAGCACACCTGGACACACCACCGGTCACTGAACAGATCTCTGCCTCACTGCCACAAACAACTGTCTCTGCCTGCTGGCATGTAAAACTGTCTGCTCCCATCGCTGTTCCAAAGACTTCTATTCCTGTCATCATCACGCCTAGACCAGTAAACCAAAATGTGCACATCCCACACAGAAATAATGGATAATGGAATAAGGATTAGGACAACTGCACCAACTCCAGCACCTAGAACAAACTCATTTAAAACAGCTCTCTTCAATGTGAGATCACTTTGAAGTAAGACTTTTATCTTAAATGATTTTATCTTGTCTGCAAATCTAGATGTTTTTAACTGAATCATGGTTGCAAATGAATGACTACAGCCAGCTAGCTCAACTGTGTCCGCCTCAATATGATTGTTTTAGTCAACCGAGGGTCAGTGGTCGTGGTGGTGGGCTAGTGAGCGTGTATAGGAAAAATTATTAAAATGTCATCAAGTACGCTGTGATGAATTTAACTCCTTTGAAGTTCTCACTCTTAAAATTGGAGGACTGCAACATATCATATTTGTTATAATTTATCGCCCCCCAAAACCGCCTGGAGGATTTTTATCAGAACTTCCTGAATTTTTATCTACTCTGGTTTTAAATTATGGCAGAATTGTTCTTTGTGGCGATTTTAATATTCATGTTGATGACCCCACCAATGTTAATGCAACTGACTTTTTAAATATGCACACTTCTTTTAACTTCAAACAACATGTCAAAGGGCAAACACATAACCGTGGTCATACACTGGACTTGGTTTTTACCCTGGGTGTCAGCATTTCCTCTGTGGAATTAGTGGACATGACCATATCTGATGACCACAGATGTATTGTTTTTAGCTGCGATTCGCCTGTTACTCATGCCGCCTCACCATGCTCTGTGTGTTCTCGCATCTTTAATGAACAAAGTGTTTCAAAGTTTTGCACATTCTTTCAGAGCCAAAGCCAACACCTGTCTGATTCCAACACCAACAATCTGGACGATCACTTCAATCATATCTGCTTGTCGTCACTAAATATTACTGCTCCTCTAAAGGTTAGGCCTACGTCTAAAGCTAGTAAGCAACCCTGGATAAATGACAGCATTTGCATCCTAAAAAGGGAATGCAGGAAAGCAGAGTGCAGATGGAAAAAATCCAGTCTCCAAGTCCATTACCTCAGTCTGAAGGATTTATTAATTAACTACAATAACATGGTTAAGGATGCGAGAACACACAATTTTTCTGAACTCATTACTACACATAAACACAATCCAAGGTTTCTGTTTAAGACTGTGGATCAGCTGGTAAACCCAACCCCTCCTTGTGCCTCAGCTGGAAGTAATGACTGTGAATTGTTTTTATCTTATTTTACCAATAAGGTGGTGTCAATCAGAGCCTCTATTACCCCCGCGGCCTCTTACTCAGAGGTCCCTCACCAGCAACAAGAGAGTTTTAACCAGTTTTATCCCATCGACTTGTCTGAGCTTTTAACAGTATCACAAATGAGAGTGTCCTCCAGCCCACTTGATGTAATACCTACAAAGTTTTTACTGAAAGTAATGGATTCTGTTGGGCCCCATTTGATCTCTGTTTTCAACAGCTCCCTATCTACTGGTTGTGTCCCTGATTATTTTAAAACGGCTTGCCCACTTTTAAAGAAACCTGGTTTAGATCCTTCCCTCCCACATAATTTTAGACCAATTTCTATAAGTGCTTTTATTGCAAAGATTCTAGAAAGAATTGTGTCCAAACAGCTGCTCACTGTATTGGAAAATAACAAAATATTTGAAAAGTTTCAATCTGGTTTCAGGAAGTACCACAGCACTGAGACTGCCCTGCTTAAAGTCACCAATGACCTTTTAATGTCTGCTGATGAAGGTATGTGCTCAATCCTTGTACTCCTGGACCTTACTGCTGCTTTTGACACCATTGATCACAACATCATGTTAGACAGACTGAGGCACTGGGTGGGGCTCTCTGGTACTGCCCTAGAATGGTTTTCATCCTACCTGTCAAACAGGAAGTTTTGCGTGTCTGTAAACAACTATGTCTCTTCGTTCTGTCCATTTAAATATGGTGTGCCTCAGGGGTTGGTCTTAGGACCCATTTTGTTTTCCTTGTATCTGCTTCCCATTGGACATATTATACATAAACATGGCATTTCTTTTCATATTTATGCTGATGACACACAAATATACTTGCCCGTCAGAGCCACAGACCCTGGAATGCTGAGTTCACTTAACTGCCTTTGTGAAGTTAAAAAATGGATGTCAAAAAATTCAATCTATGTTAACTTTTAAGGACACCGAGACCATTTTACACGCCTTCATCTCATCACGCCTGGATTATTGCAACAGCCTTTTCACCTGTTTAACCCAAAAATCTATTGATTGATTGACTGTCCAGAACTCAGCTGCCAGGCTTTTAACCAGAACAAAGAAATATGACCACATTACTCCTATTTTAGCTTCATTACACTGGCTCCCAGTATGTTTTAAAATTGACTTTAAAATTCTATTGATCACTTTTAAAGCTCTTCATGGCCTCTCGCCTTGTTATATTTCTGACCTTTTAGTCCCATACACACCAGCACGTACCTTGAGATCCTTGGGCAGAGGTCTGTTGTCTGGTCCAGAGTCTCGACTGAAAACTAAAGGGGACAGAGCGTTTGCTGTCAGGGCCCCGAGGCTCTGGAACAGCCTGCCCAAGGAAATCAGGTCAGCTGAGTCAGTGAACTCTTTTAAGTCCCTTCTTAAAACATACTTTTATAGGAGAGCCTTTCCTGATCTTATTTGACTTTATTTTATCCCTTTTATTTTATTCTGTTTTACTAATTTTATATTTATCTTAAACGTGTTTTAATCTTTTCAATGTTTTCATGCTTTTATCTTGTATTGTTTTTGTATTCAATTCAATTTTATTTATATAGCGCCAAATCACAACAACAGTTATCTCACAGCGCTTTTCATAAAAGAGCAGGTCTAGACCATACTCTATGATGTTATTTACAGAAGCCCAACAGTTCCCACCAAGAGCAAGCACTAGGCGACAGAGGCAAGGAAAAACTTCCTTTTAAGAGGCAGAAACCTCGAGCAGAACCATGGCACAGGGTGGGCGGTCATCTGCCTCCACCGGTTGGGGTTGGTATTATTGTCTTTACACTTGTTAAAGCACTTTGTCACTTGTTTTTGAAAAGTGCTCTACAAATAAAGATTATTATTATTATTATATAAAACACTTAAAGCATATTACAATGTTAGTTTAAAATTTTATCATCACTAGTTAAAAGGCATTTTTGACAGGCTGAGGCATACTGCTGCCGGCTAGGACTAGGTAGGCCAGGCATCCAAAATCAAGGCTTCACCACAGAACATCTTGGCCAATCCCAAACGAAAAAACGAGACAGCCTCCTAATGTTCTAAAGAGCAAAACGCACAACTGCTTTTATACAGAGATCCCGCACTAATTGTGGAAAGAATATCCGCCAATATGCTGCATTTGCTCATTCATACTGAAAAAAAGTTTGCCACAATCCCACAACCATGTGCTTTCAGGCAGCGATCCGGCGTCCCGTGTTGTGCCAAGGTAGTTATCCCTGACAGAAAGGGTTTCCCCTGCCGCGGGAGCGCGCGTGCAATCAGCGGTGAAGGCTGACCTTCGACTTCATCAAAGTGAATGAAAAATATACAATGTGGATTGTTTAATCTATCGTTTTAGTATTGTTTTATTAACGAGGTTTGTGTAGAGCAAGCTAGCACTTATAAACATTTTTATAGGCTTGCGTTGTGTTATGTGTGTAATCTGTTTAACACTTTGCTCGCCACAACGTTACATCTCCTTGACTCGAAATGTACATTAAACTGAATGCAGCATTGTAGACATGTGTCACTTTCTTTTAATTGAGAAGCCTATCACATGGGCTCCGGCTGAAATGCAGGGCTCTAGGAAGAATGAACCACCAGCAATCACCATGGCTGAGACTCACAGGGAAACAAACCCACTCCTGAAAATCATTTGAAAGATGATGTACTGATGGATTTACACAGCTTACAACACCAACGTCTAGTGTTTCCTGGCCTCAGTGATACAACTTCTCACCCTATTGCAGTGCACAGGTGTAGTCCAGTGTGTAGGCCTACTCTCTCTCCTATCTATCCAGTAACAGTATAAATAACAGAGCACAAAAGGAAAAATCAGATGGAACGCATTTCATCAGATTTATTTATTGCAATAAAAGATGTACAAAGTATTGGTAATCATACATGTTAAAATGTTAGAAAACGCATATCTGTGACTGTTAACAGTACAGTGTATCAAAACATTACTTCAACCAGCTGGGTCGATTCCATCCATGTTTGTCTGAAAACAGGAGACAATGGGTTTGATCTGCTTTTGTCGTGGTGTCTTTTCATCAAAAGGTATTAAACAGAATTACAGACTCAAAGGAGAAAAAGACAATTAGCTAAAATCAAAAGGCAACAAAATAAAAAAACATGCTATTTAACAACCTAAAGCAAAATATTAAAGACAAAACACTAACACCCCCCCCCAAAAATGGAAATTTCAGAAAAATTCTAAAACTAAAATAAATATCTTTCTCCACATTGAAATGCAACATAATCGTTCCCCTCCGTTAATTAATTTCATTAGACTATGACGTTTCTTTCCAGGTTAGTTTATGCTTGCAGTGTGGACAAGAGGTCGACCATGATGAGATATAAAGACCAGTTTATGATTTCTTTACACTGTCATCCATCATGATGGCTTGAGACGTAACAGATAGGGGCAGGAAAAGAGGGGCTTTGGCAAGAATTTTTAAAAAATACATTAAAGGATTAGGAGATGTAAAATGATAACAGTTACTGACATGAGTACGGGTAACATTTGGTTTCTTCAGTAGAACATAGTATTGTTTAACAGGCTTTAGAAACTATCTATCTATCTATCTATCAGGATATAAATGAAGAAAACAACACACACACACACACAAACACTATTATTTGGTTGTAAAATGTTGACAGGAGGTCTTTTTGTTACATTTCATGTGACACATCAAAGACACAGATCCCCTCCAGGTCAGATTGATACATTTATGTGTGTATATATATAGGCATACATATATAGTTTTTTTAATATACAAATATAGAGTAACCCGTGTTCTTATTGGAAATGGTTATGCTCTGTAACAGTAAGAGTGTGTGTGCTTCACAGCAGAACAATCAACGCAGTTCAGAGATTTTGTTATAGTGAACAATAGTGCTCCCAAATATCAGAATCCCCTTCAAGCTCACCAATATTTTTAAACCTGTGCTGTCCCAAATGCATACTACAAACACTTTTGACAAAAAGTACAGTATGTGCTATATACAAACTGTAATAGTATATTGTTTCAGCAGTTACTACAAAACAAATCAATGTGCTTTACCAATTTGTACTAACAGGAAATGATGCAATACTTGCACTGACAGGCATCAATCTAACAGAGGTGCAGTGATGCACTTTCATAAAGTGGGGTGACCTGCAAGAATGATGATAAATGGCTGATAAAATAGATATATCCATAGCCTTGGTCAAGTACACTCAGTTTGGTCATGTTTACACAGTACACACATTTAAGGGTCCTCTTGGTTACTCAAAACTGAGGTCAAAGCTAAATTCAGTCTATTGGATCAAGCAGGGTCTTTGACTATTTGTCAAGATGTCTAACAACTAAATGGATCTGAGGATCAGCTCAGAATTTGTTTGTGTCAACCACATTTTTGATTGGCTTTAAATATCTTCCGGTCTAGTTTGGACAGGGTCTCTTATTTTGAAAATATATGTTTGGGAAGGTTTTCCACAGGTCCGACCAGACCAAAAGACCCCTACTAACACTAACGGTGCGCTGGGAAGATGTTTTGGCATTTTGGGGGCTCTATTGTGTGCTATAACTTACCAGGAATTGCCTTTGACTGTGCCTTCAAAGTTTTAAAAAGGGTTTACAGTTCCTTAACCAGTACATGCTTTTCACATACTTGGAAAGTTCATACAGTATGTACTACACTGATGAGCATTCGTGTGAATATAGTTCATGTGTATGTACCGAATGCATTTATACACTCATAACCACCTCTCCCCGCATCACACAAATACATATATGTATATCAAAGTCTTGGCCTCCACATTCTACAGGTGAAGCACAGAGTGATGGGTGATGGGATGCAGCTGCATGAATGCTACCAGCATCATGAAGATGAAACACAGTCCACTGCAATATGCTAATTGTAATATGTACAGGAAAAGTTCACAGACAGGAGAAGTGTGAAAAAAGGAAGTGTAATGGCAAGTTTCTAAATGTAACTTTGCATTCAGTCTGAACACACCTTTAGAATAAATGTAACTTCAGAACTCCAGAAAGGTAGCAGCTGTGAGTAAGAAACCAGCTTTCATTTAGGACTGCGGTTTCATTATCTGAAATTAATCTACACCCTCTGGCCAAGTCAACATTTTCTATGACATTTGACCGATTGAACATCAGTATTTAAAACTTCTTTTCTTGGAGCCATGGTACCCTTAAAAAGACTATAAGCCAGTGTTCTTAAAGGAAAGAATTAGTGTTAAGGAAGGAGAAGTGCCCCTTAAATGAACTGAGGCGAGCAGATCTGTTCACATGAAGAAGCGATGGACTTTTATTACAAGTACGCAACACAAGCTCATATGCATAGAGGTATATCTTCACTCAGCCATGATACAATCTAATGTCACATTCCTCCTGCCAGCAAGTCTTCCAGTGTGAAGCTTGCATGTCATTCATTCCCTCTGACCGTTTTGTGGGAATGGGAGACCAGCAGTTCATTATAAACCCAGACAAACAAGCAGCTAGACATGCGTGCATAAGCATAAAACACTGTGTACTGTGGCGCAAAGTGGAATATGTTGTATCTATTGAATGACCACTTCACCAGTAATACACGGGCCTACAGCAAGCAATGTAACAGACAAACACAGGTAACTATGGGAAGCAAATTAAGATGCATGTACAGTACAGAAGACAACTGTGCTGAAACACAATCCCTATCTTATGACCGCTATCTGCATTTACCCATAAACCGTCCAGCCAGTATGGCTTATAAGAGAAATGGAACTCGTGACAATCATTAGTTCTAGCATTAAGGCAAGGTTTTATCTAGCTTGTTGGGTAGAGCAGTTTTTTTTACAGGCGAAGAACCGTACATGTGGACAGAGAAACACAAAACTTTTGTCGATCAGCAGCTACATGAGGGAGACTTTTCATGGAAAAACTAGGTTCACATCTTTTCTAACAAACAAGATCTTAAATTTAAGACCCATAGTAACATTTTTAGGAACTGAGCCTAAAAGATAAATTGTGTCTTGTGTCGAATAGCTGAGGCTATCGTAAATATTCAACAGCTTTAATAAGGAAGACTCAAAAGTGAATAAAAAATAAAAACAAACAGTTGATTTGAGAGAGAGAGAGAGAGAGAGAGAGAGAGAGAGAGAGAGAGAGAGAGAGAGAGAGAGAGAGAGAGAGAGAGAGAGAGAGAGAGAGAGAGAGAGAGAGAGAGAGAGAGAGAGAGAGAGAGAGAGAGAGAGAGAGATCAAGTGGACACACTTCATTAGATTAATGCAATCCACTTGCATAAATACAATGCTCCAACTAAGAAGGAATCATATTTAAAACCTAGTAAAACTAACTATTAGCCACCAATATAATAGGTAATATTGTCAATCTGGATAGAGATTATAGTTTTTCATCTGATTTAACTGGAAGGCACATCCATAAGGCTTCAGAAGGTGTTGCAAAGCGTTCTGCATGGTTCTCTCCCAATATTTAAGGAAAACAACAGGGTGATTATTGCTGCATCACAAACACAACTGCTCCAATTCACTTCACAACTTTGACATCAAGATATTCCATGTCATGAGAACAACGTGAACATTGTGCACAACTGCTTTGGAGCCTGAGAGAAATCAACTTTGACATAAATGAACTCTTCATGAGGAATTTAGAGGAAACTAGAGCTACAAGAGAAAAAGCTAGACATCTTGGACTAAATAGAAATAACGGAGCAGAGTGGACAACCTTACAACCACCTCCACCTTGACGTTCCTCCATCACTTCGAGGATTTTACACATCTCAACCAATATCACTTGCTTTATCTTTATTCACATCACTAGCATTGTTTCTATCAGTGGCTGAATTTCAGACCGGCTTCCCGTGTATGTGGTGCACCTGTAGGTTTGGACTAGAACTGGTTTGTGTAAGTGCGCCTGCTCTCAGAGGCAGAAGTGGATGTGAGACTTAAAAACTCCATGTGTGTATTTAAGAGTAGAAGGTGAGGACACTCTGGTGGTTGCCGCGCACCAGGAGGATGGGCGGCAGGTCCTTGGACAATGCCTCCAGCCAGGCCATGTACAGAGCACTGGACACCGCGCCCTTCCTGGCCAGCGGCAGACTCCTGCACAGAGGAAGAGGAGGCGAGAAAGAGAGAGCACAATCATTAACAGGTTGCTTTGGTTTGAATTCTGCTTTTGATAAATCTGTTTCTATAAAAGCCTTTGTGTTCAGTTAACAAAAGTTATAAAATCAAAATGGAATAAAAGAAAACACCAAAACAACATGCAGTCACCTATTGGCTTATCACTCAGAGGTCACTTTTCCTGTGTAAAACTGAGCAACTGTAATGATGTGTCCAAATGCACAGTGTGTGAGCCAATCGGGCTGCAGCTTGTTTGTAAAACACACAACAGTGTGTTTAACTTTGTAACGTTATCATGACAACAAATCTGAAGTCACCTGTTAGTTTGTCAATTATGTAGAATTTACTGAGCTGCATTCTCTCCTTTAATGACCTTAGCTGTTAAAAACACCACCTCAAACACTCAGTGGGCAAAAAAAAAAAAAAAAAAAAAAAGACTTGTGATGATGGGTTTTAATTATTTAAAGTTCAAATGAAATGTCAGCAGAGCACAACTGCTGTCACTGAAACTATTACACAAAAAGACCACCTGTGTTATTCAACACACACACACACACACACACACACACACACACACACACACACACAGCTTACATGACGATGAGGTTGGCTGTGCTCGAGTGCTCCTTCAGCAACTCGTTGAGTCTGATCTGACGATTAGTCTGGAGACCAAAACAAACAAATCCACGTTCAAAGATTCAGGTATCGACTTGACAATGTTGTTCAACGAGAATTTAAACTTCTAAAATTAAAATTAAAATCCACACAGCCAAAGAATAGAGATGAACTACAGTGAGCAGCAGCATGCAGACCTTGGCGCGGTACAGCTCCAGCTCATTGTCTGTGATCCTCCAGGGCTCGCTGTTCTTCAGCCTCTCCGCAGCCTCCTGCTCCATGTCGTCTTCCTTCAGCCGATACGGCTCGATCAGCTCCTCAAAGGCAGACACGCTGCGCAAGAAACTTCATGCTTAATCCCCTATACAAGTCAGTCATCAACATCATAAAGCCACCAATAATACTCAGACTTTTGTGTTATGTGGTGTTTTTCTCTCGTCAATGATATGGTCAAATCAAGCAGAGCTTCAAAGCATAACTCCAAATTATTACAACTTAAGTCTTATTATTGTAGTTTGGTCCTTCAGTCTATATTATGAAGAAGATATTGCGACAAATACACTGGTCAGGTGAAAGAATACAAGCAGTCAGCGGATCAGACTGCTTTGAAACAACTCAACAGATTGGTAGATTGGAAAGTGCCTTTCCAACCTGTCTGATAATCTATATCCGACTTCTCTTTAGTGTCCTCAGATCTCAAATATTAACTTGGTGAGTAGAGTGTTTGTTGATTTAATTACCTTTTAAGTCACAGAAAAAAAGACAAAACACACTTATGGATCCATATTACCAAAGGTTATGTAGAAACATGTAGAATACCAGTGTGTATGTAATAAGTCTCTTCTAAAGTCAGAGAAATATCTGGATTTTTTTCATCATTATCTGTTGAAGGCAAACTGTTATCCAAGCACATCAGCCTTATTCTGCTTGCACACTGCCCCAACAAACGCCGACCGACTCCAACCAGCACCAACGGTGTTCGTCTGTCAGTCAGATGAAGTCTTAAGAATTTGACATGTCCAGTAGGGTTGAATGCAGTTGTAGAAAGTCAGACTAATGTGCGCCGTTTTCCAACAAACCGCAACACTCTGACAGTGTTCCCTTGACAACTAAGCCTATATTAGCATGCAGAACATCAGCACACACAACTTTCTTTGATGTCAATGTAGGTTAGCAAGGTGTCCATTACTCGCTCCTCTGTCTCTCATTGACAACAGACCCGTCTGTGAACAGCCTCTCCTTTCGTGCACAATCTGAATCAGAACATGCGCTGGAGGAAGTGGCAGGTGTCGGGTCGAAAAGTGATCAGCCGTAAACGGATTGTCTTCCGCGGGAGGGTGTGCAGCATGCTAAAGCTCTAAGCCCAGTATCTATGCATCTACAGCTGCTTTGATCTCAAACAGTCATAACATGCAATAAAGATCATTTTATGTCCGTGGTAACAAAGGTATGCATTTGTGAAACGTTTTTTAAAACGAAATAATCACAGTTGAAGTGTTTGCAGTTTATCAGGCATGACAAAACATTATTATTAGTTTGTTGCCGATGAAATTTGTGTTTGGTAGACATATGTTTAATATACGTTTATAAAATAGACTGTAGTCTTTAATTAAAATGATTCATGGCTGTGAATGAATAAAATAAAGAAAGTGTCTCTCTTGCAATTATCCTTATGACATTAATTTTAGCAGTTACAATACATTTAAATGACCAACACAGCCCATAAAGCCAAATCAGTTTTACTGATTCCACCTCACTACTTGTGACTAAAAGGTTCTCAAAATGAATCGATTGTTAGTCATGAGTGTTATATTTGTGTTATGTCTGATTATAGCTCACCCAGTCCTTTCAACCTGTTGAAATACTGTACCTTTAAAAAGTGCCAATACACCCAGTAACAAGTAGTTTTCCACTTGCCAAAAAGTGATTGCAGTCTCGACCTTGTGACTTAAATTCAATAGAAAAAAATAGGCAACAAAAGTCTGTCTGGTCAGTTGCTTGCTGTCTGGCAGTGTGGAACTGACACCTTTACAATGTTGGTGTTAGTTGGGCACTTCCTGAGCAGTGTAGTGTCAGGCTCTGCAACCAGTGACCTAATGTCAGCGCTTTCACAAACAGACCACATGAGGGCAGAAGTGATTCACTCTTCACTGGCTCTGGTTTCTGTGTAGTTTCAAGAGGTGAGTACTATGGTAAGGCAAACCTTTTGGGTCTTGTTTTTGTAGTTTTATCAATCATTCCAATTGCTTACAATAACATTTTACCTACACACTTCATTGGGGCAACCTGGAGGCATTGTGAGTGCACAGCTTTACAACAGAGTGCATGGGACAACGGCCAGGAAGGTTTAAAACAAATCCAAAGTGAATAACAACTTCTCCTGTAGACATCCGTTACATCCTGCAGGGCTACTTCCAGTTTCAACTTTGACCTACCATGCTTAATGTAGATGTGCATGCACTCAATGTGATAGAAGATGATAATGAACAATTGTGTTGGACATGTACCCTGCTTCTGCTGAATGACTTGAGCTATGCATGGTTGGGCTTAGCTAGTACCTGGATGGGACACCTCCTGGGAAAAACTAAGTTGCAGCTGGAAAAGGTGTTGGTGGGCCAGTAGGGAGGCAGACTTTTCTCTGGTCCTAATAATAAGATCTCTATCATCTAGGTGGGTGCTGGTGGTGGAGATCTCTTTATTTGATCGGCTTTTAGAATTGATCATAAAGCTGGGGTAGGCAGTTTAGTTCAGAAACATGCTGCTACCTTTGTTGAAAGTATCTTTACATCCAGACAGCAATCAATAAATCAAATGCTCTGACACAAAAAATGAAAATTTGGTATCTGTGGCTGCAGGACTGTGACAAGCATGACTGATAACTGAAGTGACTGGCTAGCCTACCTGCCTGTCTGTCTGTCTGCCTGCCTATCTGTCTACTTGTGTGCAGTCTGCCCGTGCACATGAACATGTGTTCTGGAAGAGTGGCTTTGGAGGGAGGCCTGAAAGAAAGGTCCCAATTTAATACTTTCTAAATCTAGCGGTCTCTTGCTAGTTTTGCCAACGTTGCCTACTCCAGCTTAAAGTGTGAGTAAAAGCCATTCCAACACGCAGGAATGATCAAAATGTGATAATGTGACTCAGCAGGTAGGCTTTGCGCTTTGAATTTCATTGAAGACGACTTACTGCTCCTTCTTGGGCTTGGTGTTTATGTCTCCCAGCACGGTGATGTCCGAGAAGTCTATTCTGAACTTGCTGAGCAGAGTGGCCATCCTGCACAGAAAAAGCAAAAACAAAGAGCTTTTGGATAAATACTGGCAATAAGCCGCAAGACATTTTCACCCACAGAGCTGCCTAAAGGCCAGGGAGAGCTCCTTTAAATAGCTCTGTTTGAACATGGGGCTGCTGTAGGGCACAGGCAGGTAGGACAGGCTTTACTGGGAGCACTGTGGCATTCTGTGTATGAGAGTAATTTCCTTTAGCTTCAGCTTCAAAGAAGTTGAGTGCTTGAAAGCATTATCTGTCACATAGACAGATTTACATGCTGTTTCTGTACTACCATCACGACCTGGTTTCAAATGTGAAAGCCAAAACAAACCCTAATGCTGCACTAATCATTATTTTGTATTAACAATGAGTCAAACAACTGTGTGTATTGTGAAAGGTGTCACACCCACCAGCTCCTCTTCTGCCTTCAAGTTTCTCCTAACACAAACACCACTGTAAATGAATGCTAATGCACACTTGATAAAGCGATAGTATGTCAAATGTGTGAGATTTTAAGCCTGTGTCTTTACAGAAACAAGTGTATCCACAGGCGTCAGTGCTGTAGGGGGGACTGCCATCTATCAAAGAAACATTCCCTATGACAACTATTTAAAGGCAGTTCTGCAGAGGTACAGTGTGTTTTGCGTGTAATTTGAGTGAAATGACCTTTTGAACTGAATGAATTCAAAGGAAGGCAGGTCACAGATAAAACATACAAGCAGGCACCAATACAATCAAAAAGCATGGCAGTAAAGACTATTTTATCTATTTTAACAAAGATAAACTGCAACTTGCTTGTACTTGCTTATTGGTGAAAAAAACAGTGTGAATCCATGCAATTGTGACAGGGAAACACGAAGGTGTTAGATATCTGTTGAAATGGCCAGTCTGTAGTTTTACAGTAAACAGATGCAAAGGAAATTTCAAAGTGCACATAGAGCTGTGTGCTCACACATACAGATAAAAGACAGCCAGCTAATTTTATCCAACAAAAGGACGTAGGAGGCAGCTGTAGGGGACAAAGAGAGACGGGGGAAACGAGTGTGTGTGTGTGGAGGGGGGGGGGGGGGGCCAGCAGAGCAGCCTTTGTTCTGAAAACAGATTCTGTTGGTTTAGGTTAAGGTTTATGCAGATATAGATAATATTGGAAATATCACCTCCTTAAAAGAATATATCATCCTCTTTTGAAAAAGGCTGATTTGATCTCTTTCAACAATCTTCCAGTATTTATGTAAAGCTAAGCTAACAGCATCCTAACTCCGGTCTGCACCTAGCACAGACATGAGAGTAATATCTATATTCTCATCTCACTCCAGGGAAGAAAACAACTTCGAAAAATGTAACTTTTCTCTCAATGTTAATACGTAGCTAACACCGAAATCTTCTGTCTGAAACGCTCTACGTGTCTTCATGTCAGCAAAGTTCAATGATTAACAGAGTGTAATGAGATTTGATGAGAAAGTTTCTCCCCACAATAACAAGGACATTCCCACTTCTGGCCACACACTAATGGCTCTGATGAAGACATAGCCCAGGAGGAATACAGCCACAGGATGTGTTGCTGTGCCCAACACTTCAGCTCCAGTATTTTGTCTATTTTTCAGCCTCCATACTGGTGGTTTTTCTGTTTTTGCTTATTAACCACAAAGTATAATTGCCATTACAGATGACCACAGTTAGCTCTATTATTTCAGCTGCATTTCTTCTAGGCAGACAACAGCCTCATTTCAACACACCATCAAAATCAGTTTGTGGAGACTGGAAACTTGATGTCAGCTAAACACCCACAGTAAACATTTAGTTGGCTTTACTTCCTGTGGAAGTGAAGTAATCACTCAGCCAGCCCCTGAGTGTTGAAAGCAGACCTGCGCTCAGCTTCAGAACCACATGACAATGACATCCATTCAATACAGGAATGAAGGCAGCTAAACATTCACTCTGGTGGATTAGCTCTCTGCAGCTTTTAAGTCTCAACCAAGTCAAGTTTAATTATATAGTGATGATGGAAAAAATTGTCAACATTTCTTCAGCACAAGGTCTACTTACTGAAAATTTTGTGTAGCTTTCAGCTACATCTCATGGCCTACATCAGCAGATATATTATTGGTTTAATTATAAACCTCAGGAGTCAGACATATTTTTGCAAACTGAAGTTAACCATATTGGCTGCTACAAAGCCATCAGAATGATCCTTTAGTTACTTCTTCAGCCCTTGGTGGCACTAAGTCAGCTTTTACATCAGACTCAGAGGCTGTAAGTTTCAATCTGATGCCTACAGAATATGACGTTATAACTCAAAGTCAATTAAGTCAAAGCATGTCATTTACATTCATTTACAAATTAAAAACAGCCACACTGACCATTTATTATGCAGAGATAAATCCTTAACTGTCACGTTGGAATGGCCAATTTCAAGTGTGAAAACTTTACAAATGGCAAGTAAAAATGTATTTTAGACATGTATGTGTTTATGTCACGGCCAACATGTCAAGAAAGACTTGAACAGAACATACAAATGGTGTCAGTGAGCCGTGTTGTCAGCAGCAGCTGAGCAGAGGAGTGTGGCGCTGAAAGGAAAGCAGATGGCTGCTCTGTGCTCACTGCTAACAAGTTGCACGCCTGCTTTGTATGACAAGGCTCCACCTCCATTTAAAGACATCGTCAGCAGAATCAGAGCGAGTAATAGTAGTTGCAAATTTAAGCTGCAAGAGAATCGAGCATGTACAGGAAAGTTACAACAACTTCCTGTTTCATGGCGAATCATTGACTTTAAACAACACACCACGGACACACACTTTGATCTTAATTAACAAAAATTATTATACCTTTTTACAAGTTTTACAACAATCCAATGGCTTTGGCAAAAGCAGGTCAAAATTCTCAGTAAAAGAGTTGATGCAGCAGGTGTGCTACACCTGGGAAAAGTGAACAGTCGTGTGTTTGTGAATGTTCTGTGACCTCATGTTATCTACTTGTGTCCGGACGCAGGATGGGAGGAACATGCAGTACTTACGCTCGGCGGTCATGATCAATCCTGTTGATCTTTCCTCCAATGAAAACACGGATCTTGCAGTCCTTCCACCTCTTCTTGTTGGTCAGTAGGTAGGGGATCAGCAGGGTCAGACCTGAACAGGAGACATCAATCTTCTATGATGGAAATATTCAACTGCTATGTCTCAGTCAAAACATCAGAGCTTCAGAATCTCAGCAAGCAAGAGCACGTTTTATTCCAAATACAGCCAACTTGCTGGGTAGATGACAGAAGTAGCCCCTCTGTGCAGGCCATCTGAACAACTAGTAGGAGTCACTGCTGCAGCAAGAAAAACATGATTCCTTAACGCCTTCCTGTTTAAAAACATTGTACTTCAGACACTTGAGAAAATGGTGTTGGAGTTAAGGGACTGTATGTCAAACATGACTTTCACTGCAGAATATTTAAATTGTCATCCAAATAATCAGCTTTAGTGCAGCAGTTCACAACTGAGATTGGGGTGCTCCACGACTGTCAGTAGTGAAGAGGCTGACATCATGATGATGAGCCAGATTTGAAGTGGCACATGTCTTGAACACATGAGTCATGCCTCTGGCCTTGTTCACATCTTTACACCCAAAATCATTCTGCCAATACAGAATGAGTCATATTAACATATTGGTTCTGTCAGCTCTATTGATCAGCACAGTGCCGGTAGAGTTGGTCCTCTAAACAGCTGTGGATTGCTTTGCCATTGAGATTTCTCTGTCATTCTGAGTATCGTTTCAGGGGTCCATGCGTCGGATGTCCTGCTGACAGTGGTTTGCTAAAGTAAATTTCCTTTATATTACTCATATTGTTCTGTGCACATGTATGCCTGTGTCCATGTCTTTTTAATGTTTATGTGCAAATTGTTCAAATGCAAGGTCACTGTGCATTTATGCATTACCTATGCATAGGGCTGAACGATTTGGGGGGGGAAATCTAATTTTGATTTTTCTGATATTGCGATTACAGTTCGGTTTGCGATTTAAAAAGCAGTTTAGCTAAACATCAATATTCACTGAGTAATAGATAAAACAAAACAGCTGATCTCAGCCATACTAGTCAATGCTTGTGCTTACACCAGAAGAGCTGCACCGCGTCCTAGAAGCAGCTCTCTTCTCCGCAGAGTCAATATTTGACGGAAACTTTGTCAAGCAGCACAAGGCAGAACCGGGCATGAAATCAGACCCAGAATGGCATAGAGAATCTGGTCCATTTTCAAAATAAATCAACCTGTGCAGACTCCCGATCGTACATCAACAATAAAGTATAAAGTAATAAACAGTTAAATTCAATAAAATTTTATTTATATAGCGCCAAATCACAACAACAGTTATCTCACAGCGCTTTTCATAAAAGAGCAGGTCTAGACCGTACTCTGTGATGTTATTTACAGAAGCCCAACAGTTCCCACCAAGAGCAGCACTAGGAGACAGAGGCAAGGAAAAACTTCCTTTTAAGAGGCAGAAACCTCGAGCAGAACCATGGCTCAGGGTGGGCGGCCATCTGCCTCGACCGGACAAAACAGACAAAAATAAATTAATTAACCACGTAGCCTATTTAACAATGGTAGAAGCACAAAAATCAAGGACAACTGAACAAATCAACAAAATAGGCTTAGTCAGCTAAACATGGCAGGCAAAACATTCTTATTCTGAAATGCTCCATGTGGGATATGTAGCCATGCAGAGAGCGGAACAAAACCGGTTCATAGAAAGCCGTTATCTGTAGTTGAAGCACACAAAGTGACAAATTAACAACACATCAACAATGTGGAGCAGGCTAAACGCTCCGCTGCTGAAACACTTCAGTATGAGTTGACGCCAGACAAAACTGCAGCACAGCTGCCACCTGTGTCCGTTTGCCTGATGCCATTGTCCCATGTTTTGCTCTAGTTTCGTTTGTTGTTGTGAAGTGTACATGCACTGTGCCCGCTCTGATTGGCGAGTATAGCCGTAAAAGGTTGTGCATGGCGCTTATGATTGCCAAGCAAGTCTGTCACACAAGGATGACAACAGAATGAATTTGGAACTGCATGACTGTTTAAAACAGGTAAGCAGAGCTATATCATTAACCTACATTTTTAATCGCAGTGTTCACAATTAGCTAAGCATGTTTTTTTTAAATTGCAAATTTGATTTGAAAACGATTAATTGCTAAGCTCTAAATAAAAATAATTTTTTTCTGTAATGGACTTTACATTTGAAACAAATCTCAAAGTGCTACAAGGTTAAATCGCTTCATTATCATTGAAGAGAATCCTTTAAGTTTTAGAACAGTACCTTCAGACAATGTTTTCAAAACAAATTTCAGTTTGTATTGGTATTTATTTTATGGATACAGACAGTCATAAAGAAAGCAAATGTTTTTTTTCTTTTATGCCTTCATACTATTCAAGGGCATCAAACTGCCGGTTCTGACTAAAATAAAAACGCATTACCTACCAATAATTTGGCATGCAGTGATACCTGCCTGCTTGCCTGCCTTGCAAATCTTTCTAAAAACATACAAGCTGTAGTGTCACAGTAGTATTAACAATAAAAGGTCTCATTTTCTGGTCCTCATTCAGTAAAGCTAGTGCACTGCTGCTCACACCTATTTGGACAATGTTTGATCCGCAGGACATCTCTTTCTCCCAGACTCACCTCCATCATCAAACAGCCACCAGACATCCACTGTGCCCTTCCCTTGTTTCTTCTGGAACTGCTGGCTGGCCTCTAGCAGCCTCTGGTCAGACACATTCAGTGGTACAGTCGGGCTCTTCTTGTCTGCAAGGACACACACACACACACACACACACGTATATATTAGCAGCCTGATTGTGGAACTCAGGTTGGACAGTAACCAAACATTCCAAGTAGAGAGTCCCTGTGTGTCAGTTATGGACAGACCTAGGTGGTGTTGGACTCTGTGGGCTGGGAACTGTTCAGTGTCTGTAGGATAACGCTGCCTTCAGATTGCTAAGGTTTTAGGACCGATTTCCTACCTTCCAGCCAGCGACAGGTATTATAGTATGATTTGTTTTTGCAGTAATGTATCTGCAGTGGAGGTCTTCATGGGTCCACCACAACCCTAGTACCCGAAACCCTACCCAGGTCTTTTTAACATTATGTGTAATACCTGAGTGTATCTGAGAAGACTTGGCCGCGATCAGACAGCGTGCATCATGATGGAAGTACAGTATGTGTCAAATACAACAGCATCTGCAAGCAAAGTGCATCTGGTCTAAGTCTCCCGGCTGCATTTGGGTCCAGCATTGCTTGGTCCTACGTGGGTATGGGTTCCAACTTTCAAATAATAAATGGGTCACATTCAGATCTGGGTAGTACATTTCCAGGCCTTTTTAGACACATGAAGACCTCTAATCTGCAGAAATGTCAAGAGTCTGCAACAAGTTTTTAGATCTGAAGTGAATTTTTATTTGTCTTTATGTGTGGAAAAAAAGGCAGTGTACGGGCTCAGAATTGCTGTGACATTACTTTCAAAAGCTTAACCTTAGCCAACATTAGCCACCACAAGCTACTAGTCATCCCAGACCAAGTAAGGCTGTAACAATTAAATCCTGAAGTGTTTTTAATTGAGCATTTTTCTCTTTAAAAGTGACATAGTTTTTGATATATGTTATGTTGTTATTATTGCGTTAACGCATTCATTAATTAACGCCGACAAATATTTTATTGCAAGTTAACACAGTTTTCTATTTTGTTATTATTATTTTGAAAGTCTGTTGCTCACTGGCTCCGAATACACATTCAGTCAAATTATGGGTCACAGGAGGGCTGAGATGTTGATCAGCCTGCAAATCATCTACCCAAACAAGCAGCGGAGGATCAGGATGCTCTGTCATGCAAATTCCCTCCTGTTGATGTCCTATTTAGTAAACAGTAACAGATTCTGGAAACTCACAAACAGAGAGGATCATTCTCTCTTCCAATGATTTGTACTGTGTGTCACATACAAAAAGTTCAAGACAATTCAACTTTGGCAGCTGGCGTGAGGCGAGCACAACCGCGTCAGTTTCACGGGAACGCACCCGTTTGTCACTACATCTTGTGCTCGACCACTTCACCTCACTCTAACAGGGAAACTTGCAACTGATTGAACATCTGTTTCTGCTGCTCCCTGATAAAAATAAAATGTTTCTGCTGATTTCTGTTCAGAAAACCCCCCCAAGAAAACTGGACTCTGGTTCTAACAAGCTAGATAAAAGGTGGCAAATAGCTTTGGTTTAATATTTGATTACATATATTATATAATATTTGATGTTTAAATTGAGATTTACAAGAAATATTTTATTGCTGCTGTAAAAGGAATACTGCTGGTAAAAAGCACCTTATTTGTTTAAAGCGTTTGCAAACCACATGTTATTGCACTTTTGTGTACATTTAAATTAAAAAAGTGCACAATACACTACTTTAGAATTCATTATTCAATTCTGCGCATAACTATGTGATTAATTGTGATAAAAAAAATCGTTTAATCATTGCCCAGCACTAATATATGTACTGTATTTCTAATGTCTGGATGTCTTAATGAACACAGGGGAAACACCACCAGCACTGAACAGCAAGGGAACAGAGAGAGATGCTGTGAGAGGTTCATTGTTAGCTGGGAACATGAAAACAGAAGAGTGGTTTTCATCCTGGAAAAGTGTCACCTGCAGAGAGATAAGCAGCAGCAGGCAAGAGAGAATGAAGATGCTTTGGAGGAAAGTGAACTTTTGCGCGCACACACACACACACACACACACACACCCCCCCCCCATATTAATGACTTGGAGTTAAAGGCACTATCACAAACAGCTTCAGAGACTGGGCTTTAGATACAAGCTGGATTGTGAGCAGGAGAAAGAGAGGAAACGACAAAATATTATTCCCCAAAGCCAAGTAGCTAGCAGGCTAGAAACAAAGGACAGACTGGCAGAGACAAAAGACCGAGACAGCGGGGTATGTTAATACAAGAGGAATTCACGATATACTGTGAAAAATGAGGTGATGAGGACAGCATGAGGATAGGGAAAATCTGACTTCAGAGGAAAAGAGCACACAAAAGATAACAAGAGATAAAATCAAAGCAGAAAAAGAAAGAGGTTTTAAGGGAACCCAATAAAGTGGATCTCCTGCCTTTTTTCAACAGGGGCTGAGTTGGAGCTTTGCCATCATCATCGTCATCTGGGAAATGCGAGACAAGAGGAGAGAAAAAAAATAAAAAAATCATACTTGATGTGAAATGTTGATTTAATGTACAATCAAGCTTTCTTGGTCATGAATCAAGATGTTTAGCACAACAATATAAATATAAAATATCAAAAGTACAACAAAACAGATACACACACACACACACACACTCACACACATTTGGTCCCAGGAGAATGTTTAGCTTGGTGCTAACACTGCATGCAAAAACAAGAACCTTTGCTCAAGCTTTTCCACTGCAAGAGAGCTCAACCTTTTCTCTTGATTTCTTGTTCAGGCCTGACCTGAACATAAAAGCAGCAGCTCTGAGCCAAGACTCTCTAGTTAAATCAATATGGATTCCACTGCCCATTTGGTAACATTCATGACATAAGCATATTACATACGCATGAATCAGTTCTTATTCTCAAAGCTAAACTACTCCACTGCTTGGATTAAAATTTAAATCTCATACAGTGAGGAGGCTGATTCAGAATGGAAAGTACAGAGGAAGTGGGCAAAGATTCTGTCTTAATGATGGCTCAGGTAGGAGTTTTAGCTGAGAGGATTAGCCAAATCGAGGCATTCATCTCCACTGTTTGCGCCCCCTCAATTGGGGTACACATTAATTATCACTTGCAATTATGCTGAACGGACATTCATAAATATGTCTTTCTTACATTACAAAATGAGTATTTAGTATAAGAGTATAATAGAGAGACTTCAGCCTTTAGAAGGTTTGTAATGTGAAACATCTGCAGTAAGTGTTGAATGTCTTTTGAATATAGAAGCAATTGGAATTAAAAATCTGCACAAAACTATAACATTTCTGTTTGTTGTTCTACTGATGGAATTATTGCTGCGGAAATGTATGTTTGTGAATTTATTAAGACAACAGATTAAAACGGAAGAATTTACACTGACAACATCAACAGCAAGTAAAACAGGGTCTTAGTAAAATATGATAAAAATCTACAAAAATAAACTAAGCATGCAGTGCTAGAGAGCTGCGTTATATAAAAAGCTTGACCCAGTTTAACAACAATAAATATCCACACCACATTCTTAACAGCCTTCATGAGTCCAGACCGGATGAGGCCTGGTGCTCAGGCTGCAGTTGGAATGTTTGGAAGTATAGTTCAGACAATCTGGGAACTGCTCAGTGTGGGTGACACTATGTGGCCCGAGACACCTGTGGACTAACACACTGGGTTATGTGGAACGACTGGGGCCATGGTTAACTGAGGAGACTTCCTGTCAGGGCAGTGTGTGTGTGTGTGTGTGTGTGTGTGTGTGTGTGTGTGTTTGTAGAGGCAGCCGTTTCTTCCACAGTCTGCTTGGTAGATTCAGTGAAGATAGAAAACGTTACTGAGATGAATGACAGACGTTCATACTGAGGTTCCTAACCTTTCTGTATAGCCGGACTGTTCTGGAGGCTGGTGGCCTTGGAGGATGGCTTGGATGAATCGGCATCAGAGTCTTTGCTCGTGTCTATGGACACGATCACATCTTTCATCCCTGAGGACTTCTCCTGGGAGGACAGCAAGTCATCTGGGAGGAAATGGAATGAGAGGACAGAGGAAGGGGGGATGCAGGAAGAAGAGAAAACAAGATGGAAGATAGAAACAATGTTTAAAGAGTGTGAGGGAGAGAAAAAGGAAATCAGACATCACTACAGAGTGTTCATAGCATTTCTTTAGTATTTCACTTCCATAAAGTTAGGGGGACTTTCAAGAGACAGATGAAAAAAGTATCAACAAAGTCGAAGCAGCAGAGGCCGAAATATCCCACAACAAACAAAACTAACGTTGTCATCGTATGTTACTCACAGAATTAATATTAATTACAGCTGATCTGCCAACGCTTACCTTTTGTCATTTTAATCGGTGAAAGTGACAGTCAGCATCCGTTAAACAAGAAGCTGCTAGCCTACATGAATGTTTTCTACAATGATCTTTGCTAATGATAATTAGCACCACAGTTTAGCAAATCCATGCATTTTGCCAGTCTCAGTGTTTGAGTTTTTCTCCCATTCACACACTCTGGTTTCCACTCTCACATGCAGTGAAATGCTGCACTGCAGAGGCTGGCTGTGGTAAAGCAGAGCCACGCTGCCTCCGAGCTGAGATAACCCTGATCCAATCAACAAAAGGTTTGGGATTTTGGATACATCTGTCATTTTGTGTTACATATAAATATAATATTTTGCTTATCACCTCTCAGGAACCATGTTGTGTATGTATGCATATGTTTGATACCTTGTCCTTGGATATGGGACACGTCCAGCCCCTCTTTCAGTCGCAGAATAACAGCACCAAACTGGAAGTCAAATGCATCGCTGAGAGGAAACACATAAATAAAAGATTGACATCAGCAGAGGACAGAATGAAGCGTGACATGCTCAGCTAAACAGACTTGGACTATTAAGCAGTGTGTAGATAAGGCCAGGCTCAGATGTCTCTCAGCTGTGCAGGGTGAACCTTGTAGTGTGCACGCTACCACAGCTCCTCGCTGGATGGAAACTAAAGGAACATTTCTGAGTGTATTAGCTGTGATTTTAATATTGTGGAGCTCAACCATCTCTGACCTTCAGCTCTAATGCTATAATCCCCACACCCACTCAGCTTAAATCCTTCAGTCACAGTCTCACATGACTGATTTAGGTTTCAGCAGGTGAACAGGATTTCACATGGACCAACACCGTACTCCTGTGTTAATACATGTACTTACAGAGTGCGTGTAGTACTACACTGCTATTACTGTCTTTAATGTCTATGAGAAATACTCGGTTTTGTTTTGAAAAGGGAGCATACTGGCTGTGTCTGTAGCCATGGAGCCCCTGACCCTCCTGGGACCTGGACTCCAGGTTCAAACCAATTAGCTTGTGTTCATTAAATTTATTAGGGCCCCGAGCATGAAACGTGCGAGTTCCCTAAAAAAATCCCTTGAAAATGAAGGGATTTTTTTTCTTCTTTCTCTCTTTTTCCCCGCAAAGTAACTTCAATTTTGCACATAATTCAGGTGCAGTGAAAAATTTCGTATTTCATGGGCTTCGTGCATGGGCGTGGCAAAATGGCTCGCTAGCGCCCCCCCACAGAGCAGCCCCAGACAAAGTTTCACCTATGTGTATGAAATTTCTGTGATACATGTATCATATCCAGATGTACAAAAAAGCCTCATGGAGCCATTGCCTAAACCCATGATTTTTGGCGATGTACACACTTTGTACTTTAACAAACTCCTCCTAGGGAATTAGTCTGATTGACATAAAATTTTCGCTGTGAAGTCTAAACCCATTGACGATTAAAAGTTGTATCAACAGTGAGTTTTCGTGGAACGACGTGCCCGTAGCATAGCGTCCAAAATCGATAACTCGCTATAAAACAGGAAGTTGTTGTAACTTCAGAGTACATGCTCACATCTGCACTAAACTTTACGTGTTTGAGTCACGCCCCGAACACATCTACATGCCAATATGAAGTTATAGTCGTAGCGCCAAGAGCTATGTAGCTCCACAAAGGGGACACAGGAAGTGATGATTAACACCTAAGCAAACACACCCAATGATTACTAAATTGACAAAAACGTGTCAAAAACTTTGGAAATAAATGAAGTGAAGTAATCAAAGCAAGCGAAAATGTCACATTCTCTGGTTGCAGCTTGTGAAATGTGAGGATGTTCAACATTTACATAAAAATCATTTTTCATAGAGACCAGTATTAACCAGTGGATTTGTGTATTAACCAACCATGATGAGCACAGCACTTGGGGCGGCTAGGAGATAGAGCGGGTTGGCCGTTAATCGGAAGGTCGGCGGTTCGATCCCTGGCTCCCCCTGGTTGCATGTCGAAGTGTCCTTGGGCAAGATACTGAACCCCAAATTGCCCCTGGCGGCTATTCTGCCAGTGTATGAGTGAGTGTGAATGTTAGTTTCCGTTTGAGCACTTAGGCTCAAGTGAGTGAGAGAGTGGTCGAAAAGACTAGAAAGGCGCTATACAAGTATGGAGCATTTACACTCCTGAAAGCAGCCAGTGGAGTAACTTATGGTATTTCTCCTCACAACTAGCATTATTCTACTTCAGAGAGATGTTGAGTGTGTAATGACACTTATGTCTATATGAGACACGACCTTTCCACATGTAATTCCCAAATATTGTCTTTATTTGGGTTCCTTCTGTAAGTCACAGTTCAGAGTTCAGAGGACAAACTGTGTGTTACAACATGAAGGTTAAATCTATCTCTTGTATTAAGGAGCTCTACTCACTGGATCATACTGATGTAAGTCTCCACATTCATCATGTCGCCATCCCTCCAGTCGTTCTTGAAGCCGAGCACCAGGGTGTTTGGCTTGAGACGACCCAAACCAGCAGCCTCGAGAGGGAGAAGAATTGAAATCAAGATCAAACAAATTCACACCTTGACTCGCTTCTTAAAAAGGTACAAAGTAGTTTATTCATTCAGTCATTATACAACACAAGGCTGCATAACAAAACAAAATTTGTAGTTCCTTCATGCTACACACACAGAACATATAATTAATTGTAGATTAAAATATGGTAACATATAAAATAAAACAATATATACAGATATTTATGTACATATATACATACACGTATACACCAAGAACATTCTGCACTAGATTCACTTTCAGGCTAGCTATCACTACCAGTTTTAACACTTGTGATGGAAATTCTGGCAGCACCGAGTATGAATCACCTCTGAGCAGTTTCTCAACAGAAGAATGGCACGCCACACAGACTGAAGTGTTCTAAAACTAGTTTAAATGTTTAGCTGTTAAATACCTTATTTAGGGAAAGGTATAACTCCTATGACATTTTATATTTTTCTTCATGTCAACAAATCCCATGCGCAGACTAATCAACAATGAATGTATCCTATTAATAAGTACTGTATGCGTACCAAAGTTTACTTTGATTTGACATGAATCGAGAATATTTGAGTTTAAGGGCATGCAGGCCCTAAATTCAATAAACTTCATAGCCCCTTACACAACAAATAGAACTATCCTCAGCCAGGAAAAATCATTTCAACCATTACTCGTTGGCAATGTTTTTTGAAAAATAGTGAAAAATGTGCCTGTAGAAGAAAACCAACTTATGAACACCAACAAACACAAACCGAGTCTGAGCCAACACTGTGAGCTGTTGCTACTTGTTGGCACTGGCTGTGCAAGTCTACAACAGGCTTGAACAATGCTTCCTGCACGTAGACGGTTAACTTATTTCAGTACAGTAGTTTGCGGTTTACACTCAGTGATATCCTCCAGAGCAACATAGGCTGAATCTGTTTCAGAGCTAGCACCTTTGTAGCAGTGCTGATTCCTACCTGGAGCAGGTACTGTGTGCCCTGCCTTATGTCCTCAGCAAACACTGGTGTATAGAAGGCCTTGGTCTCGTTCTTCAGCAGCCAGCGCTGGTACCGGGCCTGGTCTGTGGCCAGATCTTTGAAGTTTGGCCTTCTGCAGCCCTGTGGGGAGGCACACACAGCAAATATAACTAATGCCAAAGCTTTGCATTCATCAATATTGGAAGTTAGTAACAAATGAAATGACCATCCAGACAATACTGTCGGTCTACATTTCCAAGATCACACATCACAGGAAGCTTAATTCAGACTAAAGAGTTCAACCTGTAGAACAAAGTTTTGCTCTGAATCGCCTCATTAGGGACTTTGTTTATTTCTGAAGAGAAGAGCTCACAAAGCGACCTTTCAGCCAGGAAACTGTAATGCCATTAGCTGGGAATGATTACTCCATTTAACTTGCTGAACTCTCTCCCAGTCCTTATGGCAGCAATAGAAGAGGCCACTTGTGAAGTACAACATGTTCCACAGAGCCAGAAAGCTGCTGGACTGCACAGAGCCTGCATTCAGCCAATCAAAATGGCCTTTCCATTGTAAAGCAGTTATGCCTAGCAGGGGATTACTAAAATGCTGTTTACACCAGATACTGCGTACAGGAGTGGAACAAACGCATCAGCTGGATCACCATTGGATATGGGACACATCCAGTCCCATGCCACCTCATTTCTGAGCTCTAAGCTGACTCAGAGAGAGTTATACCGTGTCTGAGCAAAGACCGGTAAGAAGTCACACAACAGTGATTATTTTAGAAGGGGAAATTAACGGATCAGTAGCTTGTTGCAGCACTTGGTCCTGATAGTCAAAAAAATGTCAAAGATATTTTTGAGATTATTTATAAATGGTGTCTCCATTGCATAGTTTATCCAAACAACAATGTGTTTTTCAATTTAACTGCAAAATGTCCAGCTCACTACATGTCCTGATCAACATTTGTTGTCTTTGTTGCATGTCATGCCGCTCTCTCGCTCCGCCCATTTCCTGTCTGTCTCTTCCCCCCACTCTATCCAATAAAGGCAAAAACATGTCCAAAAAGTTTCTTTACAAAAAAAGTCTTCTTGTCAAAAATATTCATTGTGTTACATGTTTGCATTGAAAATGAACATCACCAAATATATTGCTTGTTGCTTGTTGTTGTGTGCATCTACTGAATCCTAGGTGTAACTGACAAAATTAACCTGAAGCAGGCTAAAACAGTCCTTTTGATGGTGCAATTCAATTTATTTATTGAATGACTAGTATGAGACCAACCAGTAGTGGCTAAGACCTTAGTGAGGACTTTACAGACTCACTAAATAATGGACACACATAGTTGGTGTAACCCAATCCAGGGGCCCTCATGGTGTAGTTAAGCCTCTCTTTCAATTCAGTAGCTAGTCACTGACATCAGCCTCTGTGGAAGTACAGTTTGCTGAAGCTCTTGTATGGGTGTACATGTAGAAGGGGCATCGTATGAAATTTTAAAACAGCTATATAACAGCTGGTGTATCAGGAGTACAAAGTGTTAAAATACAGAGAGGAATTTTGATTCATTCCACTTCATCACGAGATCCCTAATGATACGCTTAATTACTGTGTACCTGATGGAGTCAACAAGTTGACATCATACAGTTTGTCTGAAAGCTTCTGCGTTTTTATTCAGATGCTTTCAGTAATATCTGACTGAGCTGGGAGCATCACGGCTCTCTAAAGCAATTTAGGATCATTTGTGGGTTTTTAGAAGATCTTCTTAATGACCACAAAAGACAAATAAACAATTACAGAGTATGTGCTCACCGTGCGAACATGACCGCAGATCATTAGGCCTACGTTCTTGGTGAAGCTGTGGACCAGGTCTAGGAGAGCTGGACGAGAGTTGGGGTAACCCGTCATCACCAAACACTGAGGTCTACAGTCAAACACAGTCAAGAGAAAACATCAACACATCAGATTACTTGTACTTTTTACTGTGTAGAACTTTTGCCGTGGCATTAACAGCATTAGTAGCTTTTAAATCTGTAGCCACCTTTTGTTCTGACATTAAGATGGCCTGTAGTCCTCTCAGCACAGAAACAAACAGAACAGGAGTAGAGTAGCGTACATCAAAGCAAATATGTTAAGCACCATGGGATTTAATGGAGGAGGTGAGGGGAGAGAAGAGGAACACACAAGTCATTCTGAAGACACCATCAGAGGTCTTTTAATCTCCTGCTTGGTTTGTTGCCATGGGAACAGTCAAAAGGCACAATATTACTAGTAATCCTCAGAAACACCACTGCACCATGTGCTACATGTCAGAAAATGCAACATTGTGGATAGTGAAATAACTAATACAAATGATTCCAGGCCAGCTGTGTTCAAAACCAAATGAGTTAATAAAGTTTGTATTTTACCCATTGTAGGAATTACATGGTCTCATGTAATGCATGACATTCACTGCTTTGACAATTAGTATCATTTTGTACATTTGCCATTATGACATACCTTACATCTATATTGGAAAATATGCTTTAAATAATGTAGTGCTTTCAACCACACAGCCCAGCCCTGGAAACAAATACAGTTCAACATCTGATCTCACTGCACTTGAAAACTATTAACAGTGTTGGGCAGTCAGCTTCATTTCCCTTAGGCCATCTAAACTTCAAATTACAAATATTAGTAGCGTTGAGTTTATAGAGGTAGCTGCAACTTGTCACCGAATAACTATTTGTCGTTAAATTTCCATTAGTGTTAGTTTTACTTATCACCTCCAAATACACACACACACACACACACACACACTAAAATATAATATATAGCACGCATGGCCATAACTCAGTGACGGTCTAAACTTTCAGTCCAAAAAACACTGCCTGCTCCAGTTTATTAACAGCAACCCCAGGCATGTTGAGTTAGTAGGGATGATTTCTTTGTGTTTGGTACCTGAAGTTCTTGATATGGTCCTCCACTCCGCTGAGGTGCAGAGTGTGGGTCAGGGCCTGGTGGTAGGTCAAAGCCTGGGTCGATGAACCCCAGTTCACATCTGGAGGGAGGACGCATGCAGGCAGAAACACACAGTGCAGTTAGGAAGTGTGTTTATGGGTTGTCCTGATTAGCCAAAGGCCATCTGACCCATGTGGCATTACAGGCCATGTGTGTGTATGTAATTGCCTGTCAAACTGAGTGTGCACACAGGTGTGTGTTCAGAGCTGCAAGGCAGCTTTTGTTTGAAGAGGTGCAAGGATGGGTATGGGGGGGTGGAACAACTGGACAGCTCAGTATCCAGTAGCAGTGTGATATATTTCCGTAATTCACATAATAATTCAGTTTGTTTACAGTTTTTCTGTGATCTGAAGAGTCCAAACATTAAATTTTTAGATTTCAGACTTAGTTTACATAAATAACTTGTAACTAGCTTTGGAGTCGTTGGACGCCGTGTGGTTTACATTTCTGGTGAAGCTTAGCCAGCCGTTTCACCTTACTTCAAGCCTTTTCATTGGGTCTATTTTATTCTTAACAGAAAGATTTTACATTTCAATTTCTTCTTCAAATGAGTACAGGTTACAGTGAAGCAACATAAGTGAAAAGGGATTTTAAGTGGGGAGATAATTACATTTTTTTTAACTATTATATATTGTCAAATGAATGTCACTATGAGTCATGTTTTTGTGACTGTAGTATTTTTTAAGTTATTCTGAGGGCATTCTGTAACAGAAATAGTAAATGTTGTCATAAACCCATTGGCTAAACTGTTCCAATGTAATACCTCATAACTCACCTGGCTTCTTATAGCTGACGTAGATAAAAAGACCCAGAACAATGACGTTTGTCAGGAGAGCAGCCCACCAGTTGATGACAAACATCACCACACAGCACAGTATCGCTCCGGCAAGAGAAACCCACATGTTGTAGTATTTGAAGCTGGGACGCCACCCTACAGCACCAATGAAAACAAGTCACAGCACTGCAACCAAAGGCAAAGGACAAGTAAAAACATAAACTCACATACTGTATAGGTATCATAATGTTTGCTAAACGTATAATTATGGGAAACTGAGGAAATACATTTCATGTTAAGGTTGGGTACAAAGTCCAGTTTGTCAAAGACTCCTTAGTTTGGACCAGATTAATTCAGACCTGCTTTTTTTAAGACTAAAAATGGTCTGAAACAGTAAATGTTGCTGTTAAAAGAGCATGGATAAAGTTAAAGTTGGATATGCTTGGGTTAAAGAATGAGAGTTAGCAGTCTGTTAGACTGGAGACCAGAAGGTTATTCCAGCTATTAGGGACCATATATATTTACTGGGTACCACAGAAACTAGCCTAGTGAGATTTTAGTAATGGGATACAGTCGAACTGTGTGTAGTTACACAATGACAGAGTCTAAAATTAACCACAGGACATAAAGGGTACACTGATGGTGCTGATCCTCTCAGCACATGCAGGGGTTTTGTGGGTCCCTGACAGTTGGCAGAGATCGGCCTTGAAGAGACCAGGGGCCGTATTACAGAAACTTCCTAACCAACAGATCCAATCCTAACTGCTTGGTAACCATGGTAATAAGTGTAAGGAACTGATTTAGGAAAAAGGCCATTTCCTAACTTTAGATAAGAAAAGTGTATTACAGAAGCATCCTAATTTCGTAAAATCTCTTCTAACTTTAGGAGAACTGTTAAGCTGTCCTAACTTTTACTTTTCCACCAGGTAGTGTTTGCTAACTCGTTTAATCCACATGGCTGCGCTAATTGCTTTTACAAAATCAACAAAATGTCAACAGACAGAACTTAATTGATTCTACTGATGAGTTTGATGTGTTTGACAAAACCCTCGTTAGTGATCAAAATAATAATAATTTAAAAATCTGTACAATTATTTGTTAGTCTGAGGTTCCACTGGTTGTCTACAGTGGCTCCCAGGGCTCAGTGAGAAAGACTGTAGGCGATGTAACGCTGGATAATGTCTCATTATGTAACATAATGTAAAGGCTTGATGTAACAAAAGGATCCTAATGCAAGTCTTTGGTAGGAGGAGATCGTTAAATTCAAGAAATACATGAAAAACATAATGACGTTAGCCCGCAGCCTTTATTATTATTAGCCAATTCTTTGTTTGTCATTATAAACTTTCCCGAGAAGAGTAGCCTTCTGCCGGGTCAGTGAGGGAGCACAGGAGGAGCCACCAGCAGTTTCATCTGCTCTTTGGACACTACAGTGGCCTGTGTCTTCAAATCACTGTAAATGGACTTATTTTCTTTTTGACAGCATGGCAGCCGGATATGCGGCGGAGACTGTGTCCGCTCTTTCAGCCCACTAGAAAAATCCTATCTTAGACTCTTCCTATCTTAACTTAAGACAGGAACTTTCTGTAATACTGCCCCAGAACACTAAAAAGGGTTTATAGTTTGTGGTTGCAGTGGCAGAAAAATCTATTAGTCAATGTCTGTATTGCCTTTATTTCAGTCATGTACCATTTAAGTCCATGTAATTATAAGACCTGCTTGGAGGAATTAGAAGCAGATAGAGGATCTGTACCTGGAGTTCTGCTAGAGCTTTGGTATTGAGGGGGGAAAAAGCACAGAACTCAGTATAAAAAAAACAAAACTATATACATTTCATTCTGCTGTCCAATAAAGTCTAAAAGGGTCACTTCACCCAAATCACAAATAATGTAAATATTTTCCATCCATGCTGACAGGTTGGGTTTCATTTGTGCAGGGATTCAGATATCTGTCTGACATTTCTGCTTCCAGCTCAATACAAAGATGGTGAATGGAATGTCATCTCATCAACAGCATTTTACCTAATTAAACCTCATACTAAACCTAATCCTTTCTAATCCCTTATTCAATCTAGTTTTCAATACTCCTAAGTAGCTCAATGTATGAATAACTAAAAGTTTTAGGTATTCATAAATTTAGTAGTTAAGACCTGTAACCATCTTTTGGTCTTGTTAATGTTGACAACATGTAACTGCAACATAAAATGAGAAGAACGGCAGAGTTTATGAGGTGACATGCTGAATTACTGTAACAGCTATAGCCTACCAACCTTTACACCAAATACTGCAGGTACTGATTCACAACTATTACACTGACAAGCTTTCAAACAGTGAAGTGATGGTCAGCACCAGCTAAAAATTAGAAGCCAATGCTGTCTGAATGTTTTTTACATTGTCTTTTTACTAACAAAAACAATGCTAACACTTTTCTGGTAAAAGGCTGGCTGTTGCAGTATTTAAGTGTGTCTTTTTTTCAATTCTGTATGCATCACATACTAAATCCCATTGTACTGGATTGTAGGCAGAGACAGATATCCCAAAACTTGGACAAATACAACCAAAACTATATGCATAGATGGATATCACTAAAGGTAACTACAAATGCTTTCCCATCATTTTGATAAACTAACCCTTTAAGTATGAATAACAAGCAAATATATAGGGTAGCATTTTTTGGATGCTGTACAACATCATCTCTGACATATTTCTATGTAGTTCCACACAAGGAGAGATCAGTCTCGCCAAAATGTAAACTGACAATACCCAGTTTGTGTCAGCCAAGAGGTAATTCATGCTTGTTTTGTCTAACATTACAGCTCCTGGCAAACTGTTCTGACTCATCTGTCAGAAAACAGTAGGGCCAAACAAAACAACAACACTGAAATGATGTACAGAATCAATCTCACAACCATTCACCAGTGAATCATATAAAATGACTGTGTATTCATCCAGATTTCCTTTATCAGAACCTGAACATTGCACTTCATGGTAATTGGGGTTTTGTTTAGATGACTAAATGAACATGTCATTTCCTTGCGAGTTTAATGTCAAACAGGCAAAGTATACTGGAATTGTGTTATTTATAAGGGAGGATATGGTCATTTAAAAAAGGAACTTTATTGAACCTAAAATCGTTACAAATTATGGAATATCGGCGTAACCCTCTGGCTTCTGGTACCCAGAAGTCCAATGGCAGTTCACACCAGCATTTTAAATCACTACATATTTAAACAAAAGCACTTGATTTTATTGAAATCACTGCAACTAGCGGCCTGGCTTGCTGAGTAAATAAATAAAGTCTTTAGCGCTGAGGTTTTTGCATTGCTAACAAAAATTGCCAACAGTTAGCAAACCAACTACCCTGCAGAGCTATTGGGACTGACTAGCACTACAATGTTCCCGGCTGGCTAACATGTTAACATATAGTTCAGTTAGTAGACACTACATGACCAAAAGTTCAGCACCACCAAAATTATATATTCTCTGCCACAGTCTGGTGAGATCAGGTAATTCCAGCCTAATGTTACTACATCCTTAATTAAAAAATGCCTGCAATGATTATGACTATTGTTTTAATTTAGTGCACGGTATATTTTCTAATATACATATTGACCTACCTACTTTTAAAACTTAGTTTAGCTGCTTTTATGTTTATCTTGTCTGGTTTACTGTTATTTTAATGGAAAATTCAGTTGGCTTACACTGGCACATTTACAGCCATGTTGATCAATGTCCCTATTAAAAACGGCAGGTCTAAATGAAACATTACACACACATTAACTCTACCTCAGATTTTCGGTTAGCTTTTCTGATAGGACCCATCTTGTGAGTTCTAAAACACTGTCTCTAAGCTCCGTCAGGCACTACAGCTCAGGACATGTCTAAAAGCTTCAAGTAATTCCCTTTAAAACCCTATCATTTCCCATCACAGTCATTGTTAAACACCATATGACCTGTGACCCTGCAACCAAGGCTCAGCTGTCTTAACTTCAGGATCGAGCGTGTTTTTGTTCTTATTTTCTCCCATTTCTGGGTCTTGAGCTTACCTGGTGAGTTAGCCAGTGAGGCGTGGAACACAGAAAAGTTGATCAAGGCATAGGAAGCCAAGAAAAAGTTGGAGATGATGGGGGCAATTACGTTCAACTCGGCTGCAAGAAAAAAAAACAAACAGTAAATTCAGAGTGGGTCAAATCTCCCAGATGTGTGTACCTCACACACAAAAAGTGTGTGAGGTACACACATCCAAAAAAAGACTGAGAGTGTTTGTTTGCTTTGTCATCCAGCCTGTAGATCAGCAGCATGCTGATGATCTTATGTTTGATTCTTGCTAAAATTCCCGTCTGCATTTTCATGTCAGAAACGGGCTTCTAGTTTCCAAGTTTGATCCTGGCAATGACAGAGTGAGGGAGAAACCTGATGGGGAGAGATAACGAACAGCAGTCACTGACTGTGTATGTGTGTGAGAGAGAGAGAGAGAAAAAGAGAGAGCACTTTGTTTCTTTATTTACATCGTGTAGGCTATGTATAATATCACGGTATTATTGCCCAAAGGTTTGTTTAACTTTTCTTACGGCTAGGCTAGTAGTGCAGGACTGAATATTTATTGCGGTGTTGAAGAGTTCAGAAATTGAGCCGGGGAAGAGCGAGATAGACTGGAAGACTAGATGTAGACGTGCAGGAAAAAATAAAAATAAAATTCAACATTAGAATCCCAAAATTGAAAATCGAATGTGTAAGCTCTAGTTATTTCACGTTGAAACAGTTTCCCTATCATTTTTACCAAATCCTATTGACCTTTCAAGGAAATTTCTTAGAAATGATTCTGAAATTACAGACTTAAAGGTTCAGTGTGTAATATTTCTGAGGATCTTTCGACAGAAATGCAATATGAGATCCAAAACTATTTAAAAGACCTTACACATAATAAACCATTATGTTTTTATTAACTTAGAATGAGCCATTTATAGCTCCATAACCGTGGATCCCCCATTCCATGGACGTAGCCATGTTGCATCGTCATGTGCAAACAGCGCTACACAGCACGTTTCCTCACTACGGTATTCTTCTTCTACTTCTGGTAGAATTCAGGGAGTGCAGACACTCATCACTATGTTGAATACTAACATCAGAAGAAGAAGAAGTAGTAGTAGTAATAATATACTGCAGGGGTGGGCAAATAAGTTTCGCATCGGAGCAATATATTCAACCATTAGATGTTGGATGAGAATATAAGCCATAATATTGACTTAGTAACATGTAAAACATGTTTGGTTAGCTCAGTCGGCAAGGCGCCGGACTCGCAACCCAAGGGTTGAGAGTTGGATCCCACCTCGAAACAGTTTTTTTCTCTCTTCAAAAAATGAATTCTGCAGCGGATGTTTCTCAGATCACAGCATGTGCCGCACTGTTTTTGTTTTGTTTTTTTAAAGTAAAAGCTCAGTTCAACTCCAACAGTAAACAAGCTTCTCGCGCTTATATTTTGTAGGCAAAACCACTAAAGAGGAAGTGATTATGTGAGTAACTGTTGCTGTCATAACTGAGATCTATTTCAGCACTGCTATCAAAGTATTTATTTATTTATATTTTTTGCCATTATCAAAGCACCATAATCTGGCAGCGGGCCAGATATTATTGTTGGTGGGCAGTTTTGGTGAAGGTCCATAATGAGAGAGAGATGAATGTGTTTCCCTTCTCAATGTTTGTATAAACTTTATCTGATTGGTGGTTTATAATGGACTGTAGTGAAGTGACAGTGACAGTGTTTCACACTCTTGGCTTCCATTTTCCATGTTGTCTGTCAGTCTGGTCTGCCAAGTCACAATAACATATGGTTTTACTGAATAATTAAGTAAATATAATTTCTTAATAAATATAACTAAAGACTTCTTGACTGGCCACTCTCTGCTGTCTCAGAAGAGACACCTTTTCTGCTGTGTCAGCCACCGTAACTGTCCTGCACTCTTTGAAAGGTTAGGGGGCAGTGGTAGACTGGACATTTGGCTGCAATTCACAACCCTCGCCACTAGATGCCACTAAATCTTACACACTGAACCTTTAAAGTTACCACATTTTATGGGTAATTAGGTCATTTTCATATCGTGGAGTGTGATAAATACTACAGCCTCTCAGAGTTTCCCCTAGGATGGAATTGTAGCAGTGGAGGTGAAACTAATTTTTTTTGTGCCCTTCTTGGTCTCGAGAAGCTGATACACTGTCAACGAGACACAGTACATTTTTGCCAGAATGTTTTCCTCCACTTGCGTTCAGCGTTACATTCTGCTGCCGCATTCAGCATCGCCGCACCGCTGCTCCTATATACATATAGGGGAAACACTGGCCTCTAGGCTTTTAACCTCAGAGTACAGCGTATTTACAATAACGATGCATAATTGACAAATGAGCAATGTGTGCTGCCATACCGATGAGGATGAAGGCCAGAGCAATACCGAAGGTCAGGATGTAGCCTCGGAGGGGCTCGTTGTTCTTGCCATAGCCTTTGGCAAACATGCTCAGGCCGGGGTAGATGTTATCCTTACATAAAGCCTGGGGATATGGAAAGCATTGTGTAGCGTTTTAGTTGTTCATAATCAAACTACAATCCAAATCTTTAAGAGAATTGCTCCCTAGTTATAGGTGTAATTTGATGTAGTTTAGGTTGTGGGTTACCTGAAAAACTTTAGGTGCACTGACTAAAGAGGCCAGAGCTGAGGACAGAGTGGCAGAAAATATTCCTGCAGTGATGATTGGCCCAAAACCAGAAACCTGGCTCATCACCTTAATGGAACATTAAATAAAAATTAAAATGTTTGACTTTTGCACCCAATAACCAACACTGTCTCTGAAATGTTCTAATACATGTCAAACCTCATCTTCTGATAGAGCTGCTTCATACCTGGAAGTTATTGTGGAGTCCATAGCTGCACACTTTTTCACTCTTACAGTTAGAGAAGTCATAGCCAAATTTGCAGGCAGCATCAGTGCAGTTCATCATGAACTGAGAACTGAGAGTGTCATTCACATTTCCACTGGCGTCTCTCACAATACAGGAACCTGGTGTGAAAAAAGTTTTATGCACATATTAAAGCTCAGTTAAGAAAAGTAATAAACTTTCATATACTGTACATATGTACATGATGAAGCTACAGAAAATATCAAGTTTGATATGTACTACTGCACCTGTTGAAACAGCAACACCTAGGTAGACTATTCCTGTGATCAATATGGCCAAAAGGGTTCCTCTGGGAATGGCCAGCTGTGGGTCCTGCAACAAACAACCACAACACAGACTTAAGATAACAATCAATCTGTACAAACCTTTTAATCCGTATCAATAAAGGGCTTTTAGACACTGAAGGTAAACAGCTCAGTCTCTGTTCATTGTTACTTGCTATGATTTCCAACAGACTCAATGAAAGAATCTCTCATATTCACCTGCGCAGAACAATCTACACCCCTTGAGATGCATTCCTCTCTTTTATGAAGCTGTTTTTCTTAATTATTTGTGACTTACAGCAAGGTCTCCTGAAATGTTGGCTCCAGCCAGAATACCAGTGGCTGCAGGGAAGAAGATGGCGAAGACGGAGAAGAACGTCTCACTGTCTCGGAAGTCTGGACCCATGTTTTCCCACATGATGGATCCTGACAGAAAAAGATTTAAACACCAAAAAGGCAGCTGACCGAGCCTTCTGCACCAACACTGCTAAAGCTAACATCTCTCAGGGTTATGAGGTGGTACAGGAGTGGATTTAGCCAGCGTGTGGTCATACCATCATAGCCAAAGAAGCCCTCAGGTTCCTTGGACTTGACAGGAATGAAGGTTCCAATGAAGTAGTTGATGATAGCTGTGACAAGGACAACAAGCAAGAAAATCTGGGCCTACAGAAAAGAAAAAAAACAATTCATTAGCCACAACTGATCTCTTAAACTAATGTATGCTTCAAACATACTGTGTGTCCTGTTGTGGGAATTGTCATTAGGACTTTTAGGTATGTTCTATGCAGTTTATGTTAGCTGACAGCATATCAAAGATAGGACCCTGTTCATACCTTGGCCTCCCATTCCATTCCTGCCACAGAGATGCCCAGGAGAAGGATTACTGTGATGGTGCCGATGATTCGGATATCGTTCATTTCATCTGTCATGACGGCATCTGCACCCTGAGAGATAATGCAAGCTGCTATTCAATGGAAAATGTCAACAACAAATCTGCATATGGAAAAAACATTTCAGCTTACTCTTGTAGCTGGTACTACAAAAACCTGAAAGATTTAACGTAAAATGTGGGCCACTAGTTACCTAGGGATGCAGCGATTACCGGACTTCACTATTAACTGCACTTTAAAACGTCACTGTTAATTAATTGTAAAGGCTCCGCTACGCAAAGTGTTTCTGTTTCACAAAACAAACTGTTGCAACTTGCACAAAACTAAAACAAAGTTACACAAGTGGTGCCAGCTTAAAGTGCCGTGCTCGTCAGAGACATGGGGGCTACTACTGAACACTGGCTAAACTATGGCAGAGTGGCCAAACTGTGGAGCTTTATTTCCACCAAAGAAACCGCAGAAGTCGGCAGTGTAGGAGCATTTTGGGTACACCAAGACTGACCAGGTCACCTGTTCAAAACTTGCTGTTAAAAGGTTGCTGCTAAAGGAGCAAATACCTAAATCAAATATGAGGCATCACCTGTGGGATCACCACCCTGCTTGGCACGCTCAAGTAAAGGTAATACATAATGAGTTAAATTGGGGCGGCTGTGGCTCAGGAGGTAGAGCGGGTTCAATCCCTGGTTCCCCCTGGTTGCGTGTCGAAGAGTCCTTGGAACCCCAAATTGCCCCTGGCGGCTATTCCGCCAGTATAGAGTGAGTGTGAATGTTAGTTTCCGTTTGAGCACTTAGGCTCAGTGTATGACTGGTGAATGCAGATGTAGTGTAAAAGCGCTTTGAGTGGTCGAAAAGACTAGAAAGGCGCTATACAAGTACGGAGCATTTAAATAACATGGCAAGGTGGTAGGGCATTATAAACGTGTCACTTACAGTCGATGCCGTAGCGGTGTACCCTTTTAGACCCACTGCAACAACAACACCGCTGCGCTATGAGGCCCATTTTTTTCAATGGCTTGTGCCACACCACGGCAGCTTGTTGCTGCGTTGACCAATGTGCACCAACGGGCTTGAGTGCACGCCATGGTCAAAGTGGGTGAACTTTTGCGCTGAACCCAGCTTCCAGCACAGTGCAAATCACTTCTTTTCTGAAAGGGCCTTTATGGAAGACAGAACGTAGTCCTCTCAGGACCTTCAGTCACTGAACACTTAATTACATCCTGTTGCCTCCTTCTGTCTGTGTTGAGAAAATGTTGCCAGGTGTAAAACACTAACATAACATCAGGAGCTTATAGACCTCCAGTACTATAGAGAGTATGCAAATGACATCACAGAACGCAGTTCCGCTCACTGAGTGGCAGAAAGATGAGCAGCAGTGTTAACTTGAATCAGCTAAAACAGAAACAACACATCACAAATGGGAAAGAGCTGGACCGCTGGTTCTTTGGTAAGCAGTAAGGATCACTGTCGAGTCCGACTGCCGTAATATGACCCAATAATCACATGTTTTACTCCCGGTTTGCTAAATGCAGTCATGGCAACAGATGTTTTGCCATTCAGTCCAGCGGGAAGGGGAAGTGACATCAACACATACCCTCTATAGAAATTGACCCTTCGCTAAGCCACGCCCCGAATACAAAGCTGACCAATCACAGCGCAGTATAGGACTCTGTCTAACTGACGTCCGACACTTTCATGGCTGCGCTCCGTTGACTACAATGCAAAAGGAGTTGTTTTCTAGCTTTTTTGTTGTATTTTTCCAAGATATGGTCAAACGCTGTTCCTGGGGCTCTGGTAATAATTACAGTCGCTACCCAGAGAGGTGGAGTGTTAGTTAGCTAACTCTAGCTAACATCTTACTGAATGTAACGTAATAAAGCCCTACTGTTCTGCTTTTTAACAATTGTAATAATGAATAGAGGCCTACCCAGCTGTACGGGAACAGTGTTGATCCTTAATATCGTTGTCTTTTGTCTCAATTGTTGTGGGATGCAGTGGTTCACTTGTACTGTGTGATCGTAGGCTTTAGCTTCTGTCGGTTTGAGTCAGTTTGCCAGCCTGAATACAACCTTCAAATGTATAATGCAACTGCAAAACCTTTTCCAACAAATTTGACAATATTTCTCTGGAGAGTGCAGTAACAGACAGTGGCAGCGCCAACGGTTTGTCGGACTTAGCATCAGTAACTAAGGGGGACGGGGCTTAGCGAAGGGTCAATTAACTGCATTTCAGTTTTTAATAACACTGCATGAGAGATGTTCTCAATTTCTTTCTTGTCATTTTCACTAATATCTGTGAATGGATGAGAGTTGATAACAATAACAGTTAAATTTATTACCCTCCTCAATAACAATTTTAATAATACTTAAATACTATATAAATATAATTGTTAATATAATTAAATATTATAAATCAACTTAAGTCATTACTAGTGTTGTGAAATTAATTAATGCATAATCATGATAATCGTAACACCATGATTATTCCTCTCACTTTAATCGTACCAACAAAATCTGTAATCATTGCATCACTATTACCAGCTACATACTTTACTACATTAACGTTACTCTCTCCAGCAGCAGCACAGCGCCGAAACCAAGTGTGGAGAGGTCTGGCTATGCATTACCAGTCAGGCTAAAACAGAAATCAGAGAATAAACAATGTTGGTATTAGTTAACTTGGCTAAACTTTGTAACTATGGCTGCATGATTAAAAAAAATATATATTCAGTCATATTGTGATTATTGTGATTTCGATTATAATGGGAAAAAAAAAATGGTACTATGAGTCGACTTTCTTGATTATTGAGAAAATCTCACAAAATACTGACATTTTGAAATGTGTATTTCAAAGAACATATGAAGAAATACAGGGTTTTTTGCCACCAGTCCAAAAAACTGATTTTGCCACATTGTTAACAGTGGAGGAACTAGTATACTTAGTATATTATAACATGAAATAAAAAGTATAATGTTCATATACTAATGTTCATATACATATGTATACTATTTTACCACTTGTTCAATATTAAAACCAGCTGCAGCTGTTTCATTTCTGTTTTTATTCATTAAATCCTTTGCAAGCAAAGGTGCTATATTGGTTTTTAATTTGTTATTACTAAGTACTAACTTGTCAATAATCATTATTCAACATTGTAAAGTTTTCTGTAGCACGTCAAACTTTTTTTAATGTCCTGCCCCATCCAGGCTGTGATTGGTCGGTTGACGAAAAGCACTTAGGCTCTGTGAAAAATAGTCAGCTAGCTAAACCCAATCCTTCCTTATCTTCTCCCTGTTTTCTTCTGTCTGATTGTTTCAGCGGCTGACGTCTCATCTGTCTCCATCACAGAGCGACCGGTGCTCCGCCATTTCTCTCTGTGCTCCGGTGACCAGTCCAACTACGTTTTGAACAATGAGCCGCTGGGTGGAGTTACAGTAGGTTGTTGTCTTTAATGTTACTGGCACACTGCTCATAAATCATTTTTCTGGTTAGCACGCATCTGTTTTTAGGGTCATATACCAGAGCCCGGTGTGGGCGGGTATAGTGAGCAGACTACAGTGCAGACAGTGAAGAGTGTCACACAGCACACTTTTTTTTTTTTTTCAATCAAATTAAATTGCACTCTTTTTGCGGTTATGTAATCCCACAGGATGACATTGTGATTAGATTAATTGTGCAGCCCTATTGGTAACCATTCCCTCTTGATCCATAGAAGTAAGCTGTCTGTCGGGCTTGGGAAAGGTCAGGTATACTCAGATGTATCCAGGAGAGCTGGAGTGGTGGAATTGCACCATCAAGACGAGACGAGCAGTAATTACTAACTGCCTAAAAGCATCATAATACAGAAGGACTTACGGCAAGAAGTTCAGCAACAGTCTCAGCAAAGCCCACCACATACATGGCTACAGCGACTGCATTGGCGAAGGCAAAAATCAGACCAATAGAGCCTCCAAACTCTGGGCCCAGACTCCTCGAAATCAAGTAATATGCTCCACCTGGAAATAAAAGGTAATGTTAGTAAATTTACATTAATTACATTGATGATATTGCATTGTTTTGCATCTGAAAGTATTGCACTGGGGTATAACTGTCAGAAGCCTGTCCCTGCAAAGCATAAATATATATATTTACACGCAGGCCAAAATTCCTGGTAGATAACCAGTTCTACTGTTTAGATGGAGGATAAAATAACAGAGTTATAAAATCCTGTTTCATAATATTACAAACAGTGGCGCAGTGTTTTGATGCCCAGTATATCCTCAAACCAATCTATTACTAAAACCTGGATCTGCATTCCCATTTAATGTTCTCACCAGTACCTGATCACCTGAAACATTTTTTACTCTGATCCCCAATTAGGGCTGCAACAATAAGTAGACGTAATCAACAACGTTGATTATAAAAATTTGTCGACAGGATATTTCATTGTCCATGCGTCGTTACAAAGATGCCGTTTAAGGGAGAGATCGCGGTCTTCTTATTAAGAACATTTCTGGTTGTTCATGTCTAACTGCACTTGCACTACATGGAATGCTAGAGGCAGTATCTGTTCCGCTGTCTGCCATGACTGTTTAACTGTAAGACTACTCACGAAGAAGCTTTCATGCGAGAAGCGGAAAGCAACGGAGAAAGAGAGGCTAACAGCAGAATTTTTTTTGTTTTTACAAGCTTTGTACGCTATTTCATCACTAAATACACTTTTGAAAGGTTCTGAGGTGAGAAATCAACTGTGTCGAATTTGAATATTGGCAGTTTTACAAAAGTTGATGGCGAATCCAAAATGTGCTTAAACATTTTCGGGGGTTGAGAAGCTCCACAAGCATCGCGAGGTTAGCAGTGCCAGGCGGCCGGCCAGTCACGCCCACAGAGCAACCTGTTCCCAGTTGCAGCAGCAACAACAGAGGAAAGGCCACAACTGTAAGATAGTTTCAATGTTCGTACGGCTGTTATTTTTTCTTTACAATCTGAATAATGGTTTAACATTTTAAAGTGAAACAACAAGAAACATCTGGCTCGTGATGTAGCCTACAGAACATTCTCTGCTTATAAAACTTATAAGCTCTTTGGAAAAATAAACTACAGAAGAATTATGAAACTGGGGACTGTTGCTTTAATCTAAATAGACATTAAATTGTTAAATTTTTAGTGTACAGTTGTGGTTATAGTACTTGCTCTTAATTTGCTTTTATTTTATATAGTTCCAAAGCAAAAATCTTTGTTAAAAGTTTTAAAGTTAAAATCTACTTGGCAATAAATCAGAGCTTAGAGTATGAGCTTAATGTTTTGGGTGATAAAGCCTGGCTGTTATCTTGGAGCAGCCTCTCCATAGTTCTTTGCATTCTTGATTTTGAGGTCTCATGGAAGGTTCTGGCTTCTTCCCCTGGCGTTGATTCTAGTCTTCATTCTGAATAGTAAACCTTGTTCACTTAATGGTAACATTAGCTAGTTAGGCTGTATGTTGGAGATCAGTAAATCACTTGAAACATATTTAATTAGTTAATGATTTAATTAGGGTTAGTGTGACAAATAATTGTGATTAGTCGACTACAAAAATAATCATTAGTTGCAGCCTTATCCCCATTGAGTTCATACATCTGAGAAGCAGGTGTTCAATATCTTAATGCTTCCAGTCCTGCAGTGCTGTTATAAACCAAACCTTGATCATAACTTGACAAGACAACCCCGACTCAAGGTCCACATGCTAGCTATGTTGTGAGCTTTCAACTGAATTTTACAGATGAAATGTGCTCAGTAACCTCTATCTGCTGATGAGGACCATGTGATGTGGTTGAAAGTTACAGACAAAGCTAACAAGTGAACCTTGAGTTAGGTTTGTTTTGTTTCCAGGGTCCAAGATGAACGGTCATGCATGATTTCTTATTGCACCATGAAATGCTGAACTAATTACGAGCCTATTTTGCTTGATCTGGTGACTTAGGAATGTTTTAATATCCATGTCAGACCACCTAGCCAGAGCTACCAAAGTGTCTCTATGCAAACTTACTTCTCTGACTGAGATAGTTGGGAGAGATGTGCGTTTCACCCTTCTTTCATCTCCAAATAAAGCTGAAAACATATTTCTATAATGTGATGGACGACTGATAGCTGGTCATGCTAGTTAAAATAACAACTGAGAATTTTCATACATAACGGCAGATGTTGCAGGAAAACTCAGGTGCTGAATTGGAAGGTAAGGTCTATTACTGGTCAATGTTGTGTTCTGCTTTTGTGACATATTCTCTTGTGACTACAGATAGCCTATCATCCTAGAAAAGAAAGTTATGTATACCTCCTCGTACAAATCCATTGGTGGCGATGGCAGAGGTGGAGAGGCCGGTGATGGTTGTCACTATGGTAGCCATCAGAACAATCAAACAGGAGAGCGCTGCAGAAGAAAACACTTTATAAATCTCTTGAATGAAAAGAATGTACAACACTGTTAACACTTTTCTAGCAGGCCTTCCAATCAATCTGAGAGCTCTGTGAAAAGTAACAGCACACAAGAGCAGTGACTGCAGCAAAGTCTGCCACATGTGGCACTTTGTGGTGATATTTCACATCAAAGTGGAGAGTTATCAACAAGTGCTGGGGTCAAGGACAGCGGGGGTGTTGTGTGTAACGTGAGAAAGTAGCTGACACAAAGTGTTGAACGCCGGCTCTGAATTGACCACCCAGTGAGCACATAAATATGGGCTGGTGCCGCACTGCCTGCTAACTTTTCTGCACAGTGATATTTGAATTTGTCTCTTATGTGCAGTCTATTCTCACATCAAAGTCAAACCTAGGCTGTGTATCAAAGGCTCCTATCCGGCTGACGGCTTTGTTTCTCTGAAGCCTGGAGGTACCTAATGTCAGTCAATGGTGAGCAGCAAAATGATTAACAAAAAAGGGACCTAAATAATACAAACATTTTATCACTATCTCTCCATGCTGTTAGTTTGAGTTTTAAGTGTCCAGGTTTGGAGATATGTCTCCAAGATTTCTGCCTCCACACCAACACAATGACAAGATGACAGTATACTTTTAAAAAGCTCTTCTTAAAATATACTTTAGGACAAAGACCTCATGTGGGAAAGGGTACTGGGATTAAATAAAAATATGAAACAATAGACAGAGGATGCAGGACAACAACACAGTCCCAACAACCACAAGGACACAAAGAGACCAGATGAGAAAATAATTAAAAGACAGAAAGAAACTTGATAACAGACTAAACATAAGATAATCTACAGAGAGTAGACTAGGGCTGAGAGGTATATCGGTATAAGAGGTATCCTGATATAATTTCAAAAGAGATATTAAATTAGACAATACCGTTTATACCGATATAGTTTGATGTTGAGTAAATTCATATGTTTCGTAAAGTCCTCTCTCCCTTACCGCACAGCCCCACCCCTCCCTGTGCGTCTGCACGCAGCCGTCTACTCACAAAGTCTCTAACAACATGGAGGGACACACAGTGCCGATTGACGCTGCTGAAGACCTGGCATACATTTTACTTCAGGGGGCCGCCCAGGTATATTTGGTGACACATTGTAGCATTTTTCAGAGAAACACTGTCATTATGTTACAAGTCGCAGACATGGTGGATATTTTACAAGCAATCGTGGGAGGAAAAATCCAGAAGACAAGTTGGGTTTTTTTCTGCGTCTTTATACAACATAGCCTACAGATGGAGAAAGATAACAACAAAGAGGTTTCCAGGGAGAGACTGAAAGAAGCGGGGCACACTGACGTGTTTGCAGAAGAGGTACATTAGATCTGTGAGTGTGAGTGTCTGTAAGGAGAGTGGGTTTTTCATACCAAGCCACATTAACTTTGTTTTGGAAGTATTAAAGACGGGGTGAAGGTCAGAGAATGCATGCTGGATCCAATGGAGTTCTTAGAACTTGTTCCGGAAGGACCCAACTGCACGTAAAATGGTATCATCTGCATATAAGTGAATAAGAGCGTGTCCTACACTTTGTGGTATGTCATTAATGTATGTTAAAAAAAAGTGTTGGACCTAAAATTGAGCCTTGTGGTACTCCCTTGGTGACAATAAGGGCCTTTGACCGCAGATGTTCTGACCTTACACTTTGGACTCTGCCAATGAGGTAATTGGCAAACCACGCCACTGAATGCTCAGAGACACCAATGTTCCTTGTTTACTAGGATGGAATGGTCTACTGTGTCAAAAGCTTTTGCCAGGTCAATAAAAATAGCCGTTGCTTCCTGTCAAGTGAATTTGTAATATCATTTAAGACCTTCAGGGTTGCGATGGTACAACTAAAGCTATTACGAAAACCAGAATGCATACCAGAAATTAAACTATGATCATGAAGAAAGTCAGTCAGTTGCTTATTGACAAGTTTTTCTAGCACCTTAGAAATACTGGGCAGGGTCTTTTGTTATCTTCAGCTTTGATTAAATTTTAGATGTGATTTCATAATGGGTTGTTTTTAATTTGCTGGCTTGTATGAAGCACTTTGTAACCTTGGTTTTGAAAAGTGCTCTATGAATTAGACCTGTGAAAGGAATGTAGCTCTGCATACTCAACAGAACATGTTGTTATTTTCTCAGTAAAAGGTCAAGAATGAACATCCATGCTCAAACCATAACAGCATTTTGGCATGTTTCACATAATGTACTACAAGTCATTTAAACTTCACACATTACTGATACATTTTCACAGATTCTGAAGTGTTTTACATTTTACAGTGCTTTTTCCAAGGCCAAGGTTTTGCTAATGTAAAGTTTGCATGTTGTAAATACAAAATGATTTCAAGTATTCACTGCATTGTCATGTGATAAGACAATAAAACATGATGTTGACTGAAACTAGCTCACATCCTAGCTTACTTTAATCAGCTGAAAACAATGGCTGCCTGGAAAGATCAAATCAAGATCAAATCAATCACAAAAACTTAAAGAAAGCTTTATTAAAGTAATAATGCAAGTGAACATTATTTATAATAAGTGGCCTAAATTGTGACACACAAGGTGTCTGGATATTTGTATCCTCAATCCGCTAAAGCTGTCACATCATAACTGATTCAAAACAGGCTGTAAGGGGCAGCAGGGCAGTACACTGATCACAGATTGTGGCTTTAATGGTGTTATGTGACAACTGATAAGACAGATAAGTGAAACTTTTTACCAGCACAGATGTACAGCACATTAATGTTGCCATAAACTGCAGTGGTTTACAAAATGTTTGGTAAAGTGGTCATTATGAGGCCACAAGTCCTGATTTTAAACATCCAGCGTAAGACTCGCTCTGCCATTGCTGTTTATTCAGCATTGTTCTTCAGTATTTTAATGCAGTAAATAAACCTATTCCACATTTATTAAAAGGAACAAGGAGTCTTAGACCATCTACTTATTCTTGTGAAGCAACAGTGTTCTCATGCCTCTAACCGTGGGCAGATTGCACACACAGCTTCGCATGTCCAATGATTCTAAAACAGGTCATTTTTGTTTTTAAAATTGTCAGCTCTTCATAGGTGACCTCTGCTTACCTATTCCAGCCTGCCCCACGATCCATGACATGCGGATGAAGAGCATCACACCCCATATGTTCAACATGCAGCGGACCTATGGAGAGGAAGAACAGTTACAGCACATGATGGCGACAGGTTCAGTTCAATCATAAAATTAGCTTTTCTACTTCCTAGTGATACTGCTGGGTGTTACTCATGATTATAATAATATAACAGATTTTTAGGGGAAGATCAAGAAAAGTACTGAAAAGCTGCATGTGGCTCATGCCAGAAAGAGGAAGGTCCAAGGGTTCAAGGTAGATTTATTCTTCCTTCTACAACAGAAGAAGACTCAACAATGAATCGTCATTGTGGCATTTTGAAATGGACAGCTAAGGGAAAGGGAGGCAACATGAAACCAGATGGATGTGGTAAAATAAACGATCTCTCCCAGCTCCAGGGGTACAGGTCTTCAGCTGATCTAGCCCCCCTTCTTCCTGCAGGGATCACCTAAGTACACTTTAAGAAAATATCCTACAGCACTTGATAAAAGCCATTAGAAACCAAGAAACATGAGAATTAGTGCAATGTTTATATTAGAGAGGAAGTAAGGACATCTGAAGTCAAAATAAAAGCAGGATGATCATATCCAGACATGTCTTAACATGGAAAATTCATCCTCTGCTGACTGTACTTTCAATAAAACTAAACATGTGTCAAAAAGAACTCAGCATGAAACATGTCTCTCTGTAACTGAGTGATTTCTTCTTCCTTGGTTGAACCACCACCAACCAACCAACCACTATCTGCACCAACGCTGATTCACACTCACACACAAAAATTCTGAGCAGGGTGTCATCTACTTGCACATACAGTTCAAAGTATGAAGTGGCACACTTATCACCTGTGTTCCACTTGGTTGAGTTTAACTGACCACTTACACATACAGTTCCCTCCAAAAGTATTGGAACAGTAAGGCAAATCCCTTTGTTTTTGTTGTTCACTGAAGACAAACTGTTGCATTCTTCATTTGTGATGCTATCCCAAGTTTTTTAAATCAGCTGACCTTAACCCAATAGAGCTGCATTTCACCTCCTTAAGAGGAGACTGAAGGGAGAAACACCCCAAAACAAACAAGAACTGAAAGAAGCTGCGGTAAAAGCCTGGAATAGCATCACAAATGAAGAATGCAACAGTTTGGTGATGTCGATGGGTCGCAGGCTTGAGACAGTTATTGCAAGCAAGGGTTATGCCACCAAATTTTAAATTATTTACTTTAAGATTATTTGTTCCATTACTTTTGCTCACTTGAAAAATGGGTGGGTTCAAACAAAGGGTGGTATGTCCTGAGTTGTTTAACACATCTAGATGTGAATACCAGGAAATGAGAGCTGAAATTCTGAACTCTTGTCTCATCTTTTGATCTTAAACCCAAATGTCTTCAGTGAACAACAAAAACAAAAGGAATTTACCTTACTGTTCCAATACTTTTGGAGGGGACAGTATAAACAAATACCTAATTATAGCACAGCATAAAAACTATTCAGATTTTTTATTTAAGAATAGCAAACAGTAGCTTTTTTGACTATTTTTATTAGACTACTACAAAGTCTTTACTTTTACATTTCTCATTTGGCAGATGCTTTTATCCAAAGCGACTTACATTTGAGGAACAACATACAAGCTTCAACAGAACATCAAATACAGATCTACAACTGACAATACATACTAGAAAGAGCAGCAATAAATACTAGTAAGAGCTCATAGTACATATCACATCAATGGGGTAAATACCTAGGGAAGGAAGTAAGAGTTAACAAAAGTGCAATCAAAACAAAAAAGTGCAATCTATACAAGATCATTGTAGGGGATAGAAGAAGAGCACAGGAAGTGCATGTTAGGGGTTAGGAGTTAGAGGTGTTATAAGAGGAAGTGTTCTCGGAAGAGATGAGTTTTCAAGAGCTTCATGAAGTTAGAGAGGGACGCCCCTGCTCTGATGGCATGTGGTAGCTCGTTCCACCATCGTGGTGTCACAGATGAGAATAGCCGGGACTGGGATTGCTTTGTGTGAAGGGATGGCAGAACGTAAGTTTGTATTATGGAGTTTAGGTAGATGGTGCAGACCCAGTAGTCACTCTGTATGCAAGCATTAGAGGCTTGAATGTGATTCTGGAGGCCACGGGGAGCCAGTGGAGGTCACTGAGTAATGGAGTGACATGAGTCCTTTTGGGCTGATCAAAAACCAGACACGCTGCTGCGTTCTGAACCATTTGTAAGGGTTTCACCGCACAAGCTGGGAGACCTGCTAGGAGGGCATTGCAATAGTCGATGCGAGAGATAACCATGGCCTGTACCAGAAGCTGGGTGGCGTACTTAGAGAGGTAGGGCCTGATTTTCCTTATGTCACAAGTCTTGATACTTAATAGTGATGTGCAGATCGATATCAATACTAAAGAATCGATATTTCTGATTCCAGCGTTTCCTGCTCTAGGATCGATACTCATATAAAAGGATCGATATCTAAACTCAGTCATTTTGAGTTAATGTGTGTTTTATCATAAGTATCTTACTGTCACCAGAATGGGCTAATTATTGAAAATATTGGTATCGTAATATGCAATACCAGCCTTGGTATTACTTGGTATTGAATCGTATAGGAATTAAGTGGTATTGCACATCACTAATACTTAATCATATATTTAATGATGTTTCATCTGAACTGGATCTTTGGATGTATTATGTATCATATATTTCACTTTTAATAAGCTTTAGGGACTTTTTGGCTCATAGTTATATTACAGAGTCATAATTCATTAAACATGTAACAGTAGCAGTACTACTAATTCTATTAGTAGCATCAAAATGAACTGTCATTAGATGCATTACATATTCCCTGACTGTGATTTTAACAATGCATGCGGGTGACTTGACGAATAAGAATAGTTTTAAACAAAAACAAGTAAAAACAAAAGAAGATCAATCATTCCATTTGAAAGTGACTCACCAGCACCCCCTTAATCCAGCCGAATTTGACCACTCCTTTGGAATCGGCTGCTTCTTTGGCAGCAGCCTCCTCAGCCGGGGTCAGCTCGTCTCCGTTGGCAAATCCATCCTCAAACGGCTCCTAAAAGATAGAAATGTGTTTAAATAAGATACACAGACTAGAGCAACACTGCTGTTGTCACCCACAGCCCACTGGAGAGATATTTTGAATCCTGGATTTCAGCATTACTGCTCATGGTAGGCTTGGATCAATAACCACGGCTGAGACAAATGGCACTCATGCAAGCACGCCGCAAAACAGATTTCTCTTTCGGCCTTAATATCACCTTAACTAAGCAATCATGTTAAAAATACAGGAATTGTATGAAAGCACACTGCATTCACCAAAGAAAACAAAAAAGACACCCCTTATCTCATAATTACGAGAAAAGATGTCTTGACTGCAGTCAATGCTTGAGATACCCGCGCAACGTTGACATATTAATGCCATCCACATTAAGTAGCATTAATACTTCCCAGTGTCCTATACAAAGAAGGAAATAAAAGCAGATTAAAATAGCGCCATAGTATAGTCCACTTTTCCTGTAGTGTAGGTCAGCAATGACTGATAGCCTAACTAGGCTTCCTTAACCTTGCGATCATAATAACAGACATTTGATGTCAACTCTCAGTACCTGACAGTTTCTCAAAGTATTATGGTTCAATACCCAGCCCTGGTTGTGTAATGACAAAAATGGACATACAGGAAGATATGATAAGGCTTCATCTTTTTTTGCCCGTTACATTTACAATGTTGGCCATATGTTGTTAAATGGAAGCTCACAGAAAAGGTTCTATACATTTTGTGTCCCTGCCTCTGGTGCCACAGAAGGCTTCTGGTTCAGAGTGACAGTGAGCATTGACTTGACTTGAGTGCTCAGTTCACTTGTTCATTGTGGAGGCCATCGACATCTGGTAATGTTCAATAAAATTCCGCTGCCAGCATCCTGCTGTATTTTTAGAACAATGCTGTCATAAAGACTGGACATGCTAAGGGCAGCTTACATAACCCCATTAAAAACAATGGCTTTGGCACATTATGCCATCAAGTCAAATTCTACGTTCGGCTCAGAAAATACTGACTACTGTGAAATGTCATGTTTATGGGCAACGAAATGGATAATAGAAATCATTTATGATCAGACATGATTAGACAAGGTCAACATGTCAGTGTGTTAGTGTTGTCAAAAATATGTTTTTTTTTGAAACATATCAATTCTGAATATTTCCAACAGTTTTAATATTCATTTTTCACAGTATCAATCCTGAAAATGCACTTCTGTTCTCCTAGACAGTGAGCTGATACACACACCGCTGCAGTGCCCACACAGCCCCGCCTCCTGTTACTCACAGCCCCGCCTTCTCATCCCATTCACCACATTTGAATTTTTTTCCTGCCAGAGTCTTGTGATTGGCTAGTACTGGTCACTTGTGATTGGATGCTGGCAAAGGATACAAGGAAGCCCATATGAAGCGGTGAGAGGTGCTAACGATAGAGCAAAGCACCTGCAGGGCCAACACGCCATCCTCTACAAAGATCCTAGAGAGGCTGGAGACATCTCTCCTTTCAACACCACTAAAGTATTAAACAAGCTGCCCCGGAAAATTGTTGTTGATAAGACAGTTGTCCTGTTGTTTGCCTAACAGTTTTGAGAAACGTCTAAGTTAATCTTTAGAGCTTTAGCGCTATCAGACCTGAGAAATCTCGAACAACAGAGTTTCAGTTGATAGGTAATATTTTTACCAAGGTCAGATGTAAATTAACTGATGCTGTTCTGCTTCTCACACACACACACACACACACACACACTTAACTTTACATACTAAGATAAGTAGGTAAGATAATTTAGTAATTTTATCTCAGCTTTTTAGTATTTTCCATTGACAGTAAAGTACTTTGTTACCCATATTAAAAAGTGCTATACAAATAAAGCAGCTAAGCAGTTACTACTTCTTCTACCACCACCACCAACTATCCTGCTGCTATAGCTAACATCACAACAGCATGTCTTGGTGAACTAGAAAGTAAGCTGAATGTCTGTGGGCAAGCCAGTAAACGTTACTGTACACACAGTGGCTGAAACTGATGGAACAGTGTTGTGTGGCGGGTTTGCGAGCCACTATGTTTCCCATTTACGAGTACAAACACTAAAAATTAACATGGCTGCATGCAGAGGGATTAAGAATGTCTAGAAAATGGAGCAAGGTGTATGGTGAGAAAGAGAGGAACCTTTAAAGAAATGTGAATGAACATTTTTCAGCAGGGAGGCTCCGTTACAACAGCCATATAAATGGGTGTTATAAATTATCCAGAGTGCCAGGCCTAGGGCATACATAGCTGAGCTGTGGGAGGCAGGCTTATTATGCATCACTCAGCATCACTTCACCTGGGCCATCTGTCAACACAAACACCCTGCTGAGGGGACACAATGACTCTGCAACACTGCCGCGATCTGGCCGCCGAGAGCCAAGATCCCCTCCATGCCGGGGTTAGCTCCTGTACCAAGTGTACTTTTACATTAAAAAGGATCTCTTTCCTCATTCAGGATTTTAGTCAATCTTTTTAAAAAGGCCAACTGTAATGTTAGGGTGTTCTGTAGAGCTATATAGCTGAGCGTACAGCCATGTTTGGTCTGTGGTGTTAATCCTCGTTGATTTCTTGCTATGTCACAGAAAGTTTTGTTTGTCTGCACGGACAACGTGAGCATAAATGCCTCTGTGCGCTTGTAGCTCACTCGCCATCGGCCTGTCCTGAGATGTTGGAATAAAAGTTAATGTCAGGTATCCAACAACAGAAATCAGAACGGGTAAACTAAAAGTTTTGGCAGTAGCTGTGTCGGGATCAGTCCAGAAGAGAACCAGTCTACACAAAGCAGGAAATTTAGGAAGAATTCTTTCTTTAACAGCCAATAGTCCATGGCCAAGACAGAGTGTTCTCACCAAGTCTCTGACTCGACATGAGACACACTCCTTTGCTTTAATTCAAGTACTCCTGTCCAAGCCATTGTTCTTTGACTGGAGAGTAGTGACCCTTTAAAAGTGAAGTACTGATATCATCCAGCTCTGGGTAATGACGCAGCGTCTGGGGTAATGGCTTCCAGCAGATACAGATAATGGCTGAGAGAAAAGCTTAAGGCGTGCAACAGATGTGTCCATACACCTGGCCAATATCTGCATGAAGTTGGTGTGACTGCCAGATTGTCTGTTTTGGAAAGTTGTAAAGTGTTAGTGTTACTCAGACTGTGTTTTATCAACGCTTCACCACTCCTGAAAATCTGAGGAAAAGTCTGATCTCTGACCTTGGTCTGTACCGACGTTTGGCCCAGATAATCTGGCATTATCAGGCGGCACCAGTTTGGAACTGTAAACCCTCATATTACCAAACAATTGGCAAAGTGATTTCAATCAGGGACTGCTGGACCAACAAATGAGTAAAAAAGGACAAAAATCTGATTTTAATACACACCGACTTTTTTTGCTTCCAAGCCCTAAACAATAACCAGAAAATCATTAAAATGGCTGTGGCTTTTTAAAGTGTTTAAAAAGCAAACTGAGCTTCAGCATGCCTTTGTGGCATGAGGTTGGCTTCACAATTCAAATATAATTAAATCTCCTGCTGGCACAAATGACCGAAACAGCTGGGCAATGGCACATTACATTGTAAGGTAAGACTGATGTCTGGTCACGCTGCTGATGTCATTATGCAACACTGACATCAAGGTCCGCTGCCCTTGTGTGGCATAAAGGCTCGTGCAGACTCAGTCACACTACACAACTTGCCGTCTTGTGATGGGAGTCTTGAAGTCGTTGTGGCGTTCACGCTCCGTGACTGATCGGTGACAGGGGGTCACACACTACACGAACCAATAGCGGTTCTGTCACCCGACGCTGGTCTCCAAACCACGTTTTCTCAAGAAAACACACGTGAAATGTGAAACGAGAAATGACGCGAACCTACACATGAAACAGCTGTTTGTTATTATTAGCTAGCAATTCTAAAGACAAAGAATCTGGGTGAAAGAATGGATTAGCAACCTCAGGTAGCAGGGATTGTCTGAGCTACAGAGAGCTGCAGGGGAGTTAAAAAGTAGCTGTCTGTTCCGCCACCTGCCTGCTCTCATATCCACATCTCGACCCCTCCAGATATTTGGCATGCTAGATATTTGGCTGGCGTCGGCGATGTTCCAGTGATGTGTCGGGGAACCGTTTTGATGCGCTGTTGTGTAGTTCACACATAACGACTGGCAACCGCAGGTCAACCGCTGATTAGCCAAGCTCCTCGACCAACAAATCGGGTGAAAATACGTGTAGTGTGAACTAGGCTTAAGGGAACAAGTGGCTTAAGTGTGGAACAAGGAGCGTACATTTGGGTGATTTGTCTAACGGAGAACGACAGCGTTCCTCACTCAGAACATTGCTGCTGTTCTTCTTCAAAAAGAGTGGTTTAACACATTTATAAAACGCATGTCTGCTTTGAAAAATCCATCAAAAATGGGTTTGGAAAGATTATGCAACAAACAAACAAACAAACAAACAAACAAACATGAGCGCAGTCAGTGGAGTAGGAGCACAGTAAATTTAAATCAGCGCAGTCAAAACAGTTTCTGAAGCCCTGTTGTTGGTCAGCTTTTTGTTTCACAGCCTTTGGCTTATGTTGGGAATCAAGACAGCATGTCCGAATCTTCCTGCTTGAGCGCTACATCAGATAGTGTATTTTAGGACAATTTGTCCTGGAGCCCACCTGCAGACTTCCAGAGTTTGGGATTCTTCTTGTGCATTTATCACCCACCAGGTACAAAGCAGACACTAACGTCAACTCCAGAAGCTGCTGTGGCTGAGAGCTCTCACTTCTGAATGCATGGCACACATTAGCGCAGACAACACAGAATGAGTTAGGGAACATTATCTACATGGCTGAAGCAACACAAAGGCTGGCTTTGCACAACATTGACCAAGCATTGAGAGCTTAGCACGGCAGTGCAAACTGTACCATGACTCGCCACAAAGGCCATCATTACAAAAAAGCAAACCTAATGATGCAATTAGATTTCAGAGACAGTCTAAAGGTCAAGTGTGGTTTTA